ACCATGTTAAGTCCCAAAAGGAATGCTATGTAACACTTTTGACAAATCTCACATCAACAAAACACAAAAGAAATCCATAGTTTGATAATCACAAAGTCATCCATGTAATATTCTTTTATTTTTCAGTATATTGGTAAGGTGTTTACTCCGGATAAAACTATCCATCATTATCAATGTGAATAATATTGTTATAAACGCGCTGCTACGGATCGGGAAATCGCCGGAACCGACAAAGCAAGAATACGAAAGCGAGAATCGAAAACACGACACACGATTTACGTGGTTCACTAACACGATGTGTGTTAGCTACGTCCACGGGCGAGAGAGAGCCAGTTTCAGGGATCAGTTAGCGTGACTACCCCTAAAGGGGTAGTGATTTTTGACACCCCCTTTATGATTGGCCAATTTTATTTCCAATCATTGGCAAGTATTAATTAAACTGATTTTTTATTTTTTTTTAATCTTGTAATTTGGGGTCTCTCACCACATTGGAAAAGAGAAAGAATCTGGGGAAAAACGAAATCACCCCCATTAATTACATAATTAATTTCTCTCACTGGTACATTAATTACACGTACCACTCCACTGGTACACGTACCACTCCACTGGTACACGTACCACTCCACTGGTACACGTACCACTCCACTGGTGCGAGCAATCCACAAGGTAGGTTAGAGTGAGAACAATACCAGTGCAATGATATTTTTCATAACAATGATAAACAATAATAGGGAAAAAATAGGAACTTTCCATTAGTAGCCAAAAACTGTGTTCCAAAATGGGTTGCAAAATTAGGGAAATGCCAACAACAATGCCAAAAGCAATAAATTATCCTTCGAATGTGAATAAACATAAAGTCTTCACAATTTTTTAAGCCTAAACAGGACATATGGTTACACGTACCACTCCACTGGTACACGTACCACTCCACTGGTACACGTACCACTGGAGTGGTACGTGTACCAGTGGAGTGGTACGTGTACCAGTGGAGTGGTACGTGTAATTAATGTACCAGTGAGAGAAATTAATTATGTAATTAATGGGGTGATTTCGTTTTTCCCCAGATCCTTCCCCATTCATAATTACCAACGTTTTTCTCCTTCCCCATTCATAATTATTATCACAATTAAGGCTTTCCCAATTTACAAGATTACAATAAATAAAGTAAAAAGCTTAAATGGAAAAGTGACCAATCAAGAGGAGGGTGTCAAAAACCACTACCCCTTTAGGGGTTAGCATAGTATCCGACCCCCCAGTTTCACTATATCAAGGAGATTACAGATTACAGAGGAGTATGAGAAGTATTTATAGTACTTCTCCATGTGGGTCTAAACCTAATCCAATCTGACAAAGGAAACGGTTACAGACCAGGCCCAGAACCCGAACCCAAATAACAGCGAGACCCCCGATTACCAGTCATAGCGGCTGATAGTCCGATTCAAGTCATATCAATAAATATATGGACACGTAAACTTATTGCTATTTCAGGCGTTCACCAATGAAGCTAAAATAATAGTTACCAATTCATCTAACACATCTATGTGCTTCTGGCAACAAAAGTCAGTTTAGTGGGGCTACGCCAGCCAAAGGGAAATAAATCAATAATTGATTTTGCATGATTGAACCAAACCAGACCCACCCCATTCCAAACCCAACTATGGAGCTGCCCTGTACAATAATGAACCGCATCCATCCATATATATATAGCTACTTTTGGGAAAGTGGGTTGGGTGAATTTCCTAATTTATGGTAAGTTCAACTGCTCTCTGTCTAGTCATGAGTTCAGCGATTCTCGAAACAGTACTACCAACTTTTTCCAACAACTTTGTTGGCTCAGTCTGCACAAACCCGGCTTCAAGGATCAACCTTTTGATTTGAACCGGGATGGATGGAACATACTTATGAACGTTATATAGGTAGTTTAACTTGCTCCATGATTGCTTGGTTACATATATAGTGTGAAGTGGGGGTAAGGTTGTCTGTCGAGTTAGGTTAGCTATGGCTGTCCAAGTTGTTTTAGTTCTATACAACTAACTGCTCTGCTCTTGAATGAATTCTGTAAAGTTGGTATCTCACCGATTTCCCCATAACACCTCATCGAGCATCTGTTTCGACTTCTTTCCCTATCGATTTGGTACACTACTTTTTCCACTGTTGTTGCTGGATGACGATGGGCGGGTTTGTCTAAACCATTTTCATTCTCGTTTTTAAATATTCAAACTCATACCCGCCTCAAATTAATGTGGTCGAAAGTTTTGAAAAACCATTCTCGTATCCGTGGGTTTAAGATAACCATGAGTAATGCCCGCCTTGTGCACCCAACATTATTATACTAAAGCCTTATCAATTTTTTTCACCGATTATAACACTATAAACCTACTATATCATAAAGTCAACAAAAATCCAATCATTCTTAATGTGGTTCAAATCATATGATCCTAAAACATCCATTAATCTTAAGATAAAGTTCAATATTTTCGAAATCATTATTCTCTTACTCTCATACATCTACTAATTAACAATTAATTAACATAATTTTATTAACCAGAGGAAAAAGTGAAACGATGAAGGGAGAATTGAGAGAGAAGAATTATGTTTTGATTTGGGTGGCCACCACCCACTCAATTGCATTTATACTATTTATTTCCTTGAGTTATTTTCACTATCAATTATAGGTTAATTATAATTTGATCCATGTATTTTTTATATGTGTTAAAATGTTCTTGGTGGGGCGGGTATTAGTATGGGACGGGAAGGCTAAAACCATACTCGCCCCATACCCATCAAACTTTTTGTATTTTTTACCCATATCCGCCCCATACCCGATTAATGCGGGTATTGCCCGCGTTAACTAGGTCAGGGATGGTCAGGTACCCGCGCTAATGGGTTTGATTGACATTCCTACTTATGAGAATTGGTCGCTATAAACATTGCATAGGTAATAGAGGTTAAACCAGTAACATACCCATGAACATTATATTGGGGGTGTTCCTTTAACAAGTTAAATTAAAAAAATTAAAAGCTCTTAAATAAGAAAATATCCGATTAGTACAGATACAATAAAAGGCCACGACGTGTTATCATATTTTGAAAAAATTATAAAATATACTCATTGTCTATAATGCTTTTAAAATCTCTTAAATATATTCTACTAGACAACAATCATTAACGAATTGATTACCTATTCGATTTTGAAACTTTTTCTTGATGCAACCAAAAGTTGAAAAGCCCTCTTAACACTTTGAGTTACAATCAGTAAACTGAATGCAACTCTGAGTTAAAAATAAATCGATAGATATGATAGATTGAATTTTGGCTCCGCCATTAACATAACCAATACATCAGTTCATTTTAATCCACAAATAACTCATCATTTTTAACACAGCAATAATAATTCTCAAAATTCTGTAGGAGAAAAAGAATAAGAAAGGTAATCAAACTCTTCAGGATAATATTGTGTGTTAAAATACGGAGGGGACAAGGGGTAGTTCGTGGTTTTAATTTCAGGTTTTGAAAAAATTGGAGATAAGGGCTACACATTTATAATTACATTTGTGACAAAATTACAATATCAAATGAAGTGTAGTCAAATAGAACAGATGTTCACTAATAAGTAATAACTACTGTGTTATAGATTCCAATCACATATACTATTTTTTTCCTTCTTTTCCCCATATTCAAACTAGTAGCTGGGGTTCATCAATCCGTGATTATATAATGAGCAAAACATAACAATTGTTAGAGGGTGAACAAGTCTTTCTCTTTAAGATTTTCATCAAGCATAATGTATGTTATATCTAAATTAGGTGTTCATAGTTCATACCTTGTTGTCTACACCTTATAAGAACAAATATAGTAATGCGAACAATAATGAGCTTTTGATGGGTTCAAAGGGAAGGAACACTTGACTCTTGAGTGTTGTAGTATATATTATATTGGTTTCTTAATTGATTTGATTTGATTGATTAGAAGCTTCTGAAACCAAATCACCTAAACCAAATAAGTTTGAAAATTTTAATAAAACCAAACCAATTATCCAAATTAACAAAATCAAAGTATTTGAATACTACTGGTTAAAATGATTAATTAGGAGTGTCTGAAACCAATTATCCAAATTAAAAGTATTCGAATACTACTGGTTTGATTAAAAAGATCTAAAACCAAATCAGTTAATCCAAATATTACTGATTAAAATTATTAACATGATAACTACTTCTTTTGAATAAGCCTAGTATGGCCTTCAACTTCCGAGGCCCGTGTTACAGGTAGGGTTGGAAGTTTGGTACCAGTATTTGGGATATACTGAATATCGTACCGAACTTATCACTATTTGGTATTATCGAATACCGATTTATATTTAAGGGATTGGGATTTGGATTCAATTTGGAGTGCTATTCGGTATTCGGGATTACAGGATTGTGATCGGTATATACCGAAATACCGAGAAATAAAAAAATTAAAAATTAATTAAATATATCACACAACTTTTGGTCATTCCCCACTCTTTCATAACTCACAAGTCACCATCCTAAACAATTTTGACTTTTCAGTTTAAGTCACCCTCATCTCATACAATCTCTTCTTATTTTCATAACACAGAAAAGAAAACACTAGTATTAGTCGTCTCTCAACCTCCAACACGTCGAATTAAAGATTACCAATGACATGAACTTGAGTTATCACCTCTCCTCCCTTCTCCCTATCGATGTTCTAGCTCTAGGCAAACTCAAGACTCTTTATTTAGTCTCTTTGCCCTAAATTAACAACCAAATCTAATTTATATATTTAATTATTAATTGCAAAGGTACTTAATTTCGCATTCGATAATGCCGATTGGGATACCGAGATACCGATTGGGATACCGAAATAGTTAGGAATTGGGATTGGGATACCAAAATTATTTAGGAATTAGAATTGAGATTGAGTTTAGAATGTAATTCGGTATTCAGGATTTCGGTATTTGGTATTGAGATACCGATTCCACTCGAGTTACATGCCAACACCCGTTATAACTAAAAGGAGCTTCCAAAGCCCCGCTTTAAGGCCAAAACGACGACCCAGGTCCATAACCAATATTAGGGCTTCTAAACCCACCAAGTAAACCAAATCCTCATAACACACTTTTGGTTACACCCACCAAGTAAACCAAATCATCAAAACACACTTTTGGTTACATTAAACCTGATTTTATCTACATTTTCCCTTCATCGTATCTTCAGTTCTAAGTTCTAACCTCACGTTAGCCTTGCAGTACAAAACTACAAATCACCACATTAAAGATAATTGAACTCAATGTCCACCTTTGGAACAGATAATTCCCCACTTATGGAGCACGAAACTTCAGAGCTGTTGGAGGAATGCTGTGGCAAGTCGCATATATGGAAGACATTGTAGCAGTTGCAATGAAGGCAAAAGAGGACGTATTCCATCCATGATCACATAATTTATAGGCTCAACATCAGGGTGTGCATGAGAAAGGATGCAAGTCAAGTGATCGTAACAACGCGATACCAAAATTGATCATAAGAAGCAGAAAAGAAGAATTTCCAATTGATCATATGGTCTCATCAACAGCTGTAACTGCTTCTTCTTCTTCTTCAGTATCATTTATCTCAGTTGTCCTACTTGTCGGAGGAGCTTTGGTCCTCGGCGGTCTTACAAATTGCTTGCTACGAGCCACTCGAATTGGTCTCCCCAAAAGTTCCTGCAAAGACGAGCTCACTGCGAGTTAGTACTGCCTTCATGCTAACCAGCTTCCTTTATGTTCACAAGGAGCACGACAAGAACCTAGCATTACCTTCTCTTGGAAAGCAGAAAGGGCCTCTTCAGCTTCCTTCTTAGTTTTGAAGGACACAAATCCATAGCCGGAGGACTTTCTAGGATTCACATTATATATTATCTCCGCAGTGGCAACGTTAGCCCCTCCTGCAATGAAAAACTCCTTAACGTCCTTCTCCTTGGCTTCGAACGGCAGGTTTGAAATGAACAAGCTGAATGTTGGTGCTGGCTTCGGAAACACAGGTGCAGGCTTCACCTTTTTGGGCTTGGCATAGTTCATCTTCAACACACGGCCCTCGTATTCCTGAAACGAATTGGGCAGCACACCTCAACATTGTTAATTCAGAGAAAACTGCAGATAACTAACTGATAATGCAGACACCAAACTAGTGGAAACCATTATCGTAATTGCGTTTAAAGCTCAAATAAGCGAAGGCTGTTAGTCATCGAGTAATCAAAAGTGAGAAGGCTGGCTGAACTGAGTTATACGGGTGCAGCAAATAACCCCATTCAACTGTTGATATGCCTGCAATGTGAATACTCAAATCATCCTTTGCAACTAGTATTATATTACATCACAATTACATCCCCAAAATCCTAAGTCATCAATGACGACAACATCACCTATTCGCCACTAGAATCGACACTTACACCAGCTCTAATGTCTCACCGTTTCAGTCAGTGATATTAATTGCAATCAATTAATCAAACATTTGCCTAAGCCGAAAACATTGAAATTATGAAGTTCTCAAATTGCAAGCAAGCTAGCTGAGATTGAGGAGTGAGCTTACATAAGACTCCAGATTCTCCATGGCAGCAAGAGCCTCCTCGGCAGAGCCCATAGAGACAAAGGCCAGCCCTCTATTCCTCCCCTTGCTATGCATTGAAAGCTTCAAAATACCAAGAACCCAAGTGGTATTTCTCCCACATCAGCAGAGCATAAGAACACAAACCCAATTCAGGAAAAGCTACAAGAAATTGTTAAACTCAATTACATAAGGACACAAACCTCAACATCGACAACAGTACCGAACTTCTCGAACAAAGCCCGAATGTCCTCTGGAGTAGAAGTCCACGGAATATTGGCAGCCAACACTCTGCTTTTACAGAATTCTTCTTCTTCTACCACTACTACTACTTTCCCTTCCCCATCCACCACCGTCTCTTCTTCGGCGACAACTTCAACTGAGGAAGAATCGGAAACCGGGCCTTGAGTCGCGGTAGAGAGGAGCGGAGTTAGGCGGCTGATTCTGATGGTTCGAATCGTAAGGGCAAGAGAGTGAGGAAAGGATTGAAGAGGGTAATAAGAAACAGATTGGCTTGTGGGGAAGTGGCTTTGAAGAGAACGAACTCTTTGAGTCTGCGTTGTGGGCGCCGGAGAAGAAGGGGAAATCCGCAGGGAAGCCATGAGATAGTTCCTCTATGGTTATCTACTCTACCCGCTCACTCGGCAATGAGTTTCAGTTTTCAAGTTCTTAACTTTGTGTGAGGATAAGGAAGCCGCGATATTTTCTTGAACCGAATGACGTCGGTTCATTCATGAACTATGAAAATGTTATGAAAAAGTTAATTTTTTTGCTTATGGTGCGAATTTTTACCGTAATAGGTTTTTATGAGTTATGACAAATCCATATTGAATTGCTGGTCCTTTTGGAGGCTATTTTCTAGGGTCTTAGTCTGGGATTCATGGAGGTTAGTTTTGAAGGACATGCTAAGGTGATAATCGACAAAAGCTAACTAACCCAAGTCTGACTGATTGACTTTGATAGTTACTATATTAAATATTGTCAAAAGCGAACTGGAGTATGACCCGATAATGTGAACGACTCGGTCTTTAGCGGTCCAACTGACATTAAACCGTTAGAAAACCGGTACTTAATAAACAATCGGTATAAATAGTGGGCACCTCTTAATCATGGTTTTACCATGATTAAATTAGTAAATTACACTCTTAAATCTTAACACTTCCAAAACATGCGAGCGGGGAGCCGGGAGCGGCTACATGGATTGGGGATGACGACGGGAAGCGCCAGGACGGGAAGTGACGACAGAGCGGAGGAGTTGCTACTAGAAGAGAGGACGGGGACTGAGACTGGTGATGGCGAGCCGGGAGCTGCTACGCTGACTAGGGATGGCGACGATGCCGACGGGAAGACAGGACGGGAAGTGTTGACGACGACAGGGTCTAGCGCTGCTCTTTTCCTTCTGTTCACGAAGAGTCGAAGACGAAAACTGAATTAGAGTTAGGCTTTCTTTCCCAGCCCCACGATTTTGTCTTTGGTTTTATATTTACGATTTTCTTTTTCAATTTTTTTATTAAATAGAACGACCAGAACGAGAAAATTCAGCGATCGGTTCGACCGGCTCGAGTGGTTAACCGCCTTGGGCGCTCCATAAAACCGTAGCAACTAAATGACTGGCCTGAGCCGGTTTTGCGACCGAGTGACGGCTTTAACGGTCCGGTCGGCCGGCTCGGTCTTAGTAACACTAATATTAATATAATACATGTTAGGAAACATTTGGTGCTATCAACTTTTTGGTGTTGATAACGACTTATTTATACATGTTTGGATCATTATTCCTTGCTCGTTTGACTTGGATTAGTAGTTCCTTGGCCTATTTCATGTTAGGTTGTGTTCCTTTTGTCATATTTCAGGTTCTAGAATGTGGATAGAGTTTAGAAGCGAGTTTCGGGACGATCAGATGTCAAAACAAACCAAAAAGTGATGTTAGAGCCTATGTCACGGCTTGGGAAGACATGTCACGACTTAAGCTGTGAATTCTCAACCAAAACCGTGAAATGACCAATTTCCCTAGTGAGATGAGCCTGTTTCATGGCTTGAGTCACGGTTTGCCCCTATGTCACGACCCATGACATCCCTAAGTTATATCGTGGAAAGGGGTTGGCGAGTTAGTTGAAACAATGAGTTTTGGATGTCACGAACTGAAGTTGAATGACACGGTCATGACATAGGCCGGGACATGGTCTCTGTCGCAAGTATAAGAGGATTTATGCGATTATGGAAAAGGAGAGCTAGGGTTTTCAGCTGAAAACACCCAAGAGATGTTGCCATGAGTCGAAGAGCGATCTAGAGTGATATTGGAGAAATATTGGAGGCTTGTGTCGCCATTGGAGCTTGAAGAGCAAGGCTAGACATGAAGATTGAAGAAGTTAAGATTCTTATTATATTCTCTCTTATCTCTCGAGTAGTTTCCCTTCACTTAGGTTTTGAGGAACCCTAGTTTTGCTTGATTGGGTGATTGTATGAGTACTCTATCTTGATACTTTTAAGTTCATATCCAATCTATACTTGATTTCATGATTTAATTATGCTATAATCGAGATCATAGGTTCTACTTTGATTCTATGAGAGGAAATACCTTATTAGGTCAATAGAGCTCCGTGGATTGGAAGTAGAGGATCGAGACACGAGATGAATCGATTCATTGCTATGTATTAAGTGATAACATTTCCCAGTATAGTGAGTCTAGTGTAGAACGCCTTGATTGGTTGTTTTAGAGAAGGATACGTCCCTCTTAGAAATTGACTCAAGAGTGCCTTGATTAATTTGGTCGAGATTCAAAGCTTAAAGACTTTCCACATTATGAATGAATAGTGAATCAAGTTAGGGAATCATCGATCATTAATCCGATTAGTGGCTAGGAGGAACCAATATCTAAGTGAGTTCCCAACATGTAATTAGTCTAACCTTATTTTAGTTTGGTATCGTAGTTATAGTCTTTTTACTCTAAATATGATTTGGCTAGATGATAAACCAAAGCTGAGTAATAGTAAATCTAAAGACCCGTGAATTTTATATTTTATTATCTGTGCCACCATAATGAGATATTGTCTTTGTTCACTAGGCATTGTCAGAGGTGTAGTTACACCAAGTCAAGTTTTTGAAGTCGTTGTCGGGACGATCTAAGTTATTAGGAAAGACATAAGTTTATTAATTTAGTTTTTCTTTCTTTTGTTTGTTTTCTTTTTTCACCCTTTCTTTTCACTTGAGTGGTTTTATTTTCGATTGTGCAGGTTTGAATAATGAATTCCAATGAATTCTCCAACATGTGAGGGTATTGACCAACATTAGATTGGTGTCACTCCCAGGCTTCATGGGATAACCAGTATAAAGAAGGCTACAGATTAAAGTTCCAGGAGCAACCACTCTTCCATAATGCACAATCAGCGCCTTGGGCATTTCATGAACCTCCTCCTTATCGAGAAGACCTCTCTTTACAACCAACATGTGCATAAGATTTCGACCTATCCATGGTGGACTTCTTGGGACTGTATGCAGAGCCATGATGTACTCCATAACCAGATACGAAGAGCCAATTAAAGCTACTTGTAGAAAAATTTTGTGCTTAATAGTGAAAGAGCATGCTCCAAATTGACCTTTCAATCCACCACCCCTCTTGACTAATCTTTTCTTCGTGAAATGGAGATGGATCTCCGACGCTTAGAGGAGCACATAGAAGTTATTGAGCAAGCTTGTGCACGATTCGCTCATGATCGACTTTTAGCTAATGCAAAAGAGGAGAATTATGAGGGGGCAAACCACGAGGACATTGTGGAGTATACATAAGTTCTCATGGAAAACGCCCATGATGATCATTGATCCGACATATCCTGTAGTGGCAGACCACACATTTTCCTATTTCACATTGAGCTTTGAAGAGACAGACACGAGTGAGGATATGCAAGTTGATCTTATCAAAGACATTTGAGTGGCAATTTGCTATGCGTCATGTGCTTCAGGAGGAAGAAAGATAAAGGGTGAAAAGAGAAGTTGTAGAGGAGGAAGGAAGCAATAAAAAGGAAGCTCTTGATTTTTCCCAAGGGGAGGAGCTTATTGTTGAAGAAGCAATTAAGGTCCAAGCAGGGGATGAGGCTGAGGTGGTTGAGGCTTCTAGAATCCCAGAGTCATATCAGAGCTCCCCACATGACCTTGAGGAGCCTATTGAAAAGTACCCTTTTGCAGTCTCTCTTTGTCAGATCAAAACCACACTATCATTGATCCTAGGGGCATACATGAGTCGGGTGGTTCGGGTTTAGCCAATTTAATCACCTGACCCATGCACTACTGTTTGGGAAATATTAAACTCAAACCCACCCAAAAAAATTAAAACCCTACGATTTGTTTCTAATTAGGTTGGGTCGGGTTGGCGATATTTTCAAGTAAAACCCCAACCCAACACAAAATATGTAATTATTCTACACCATAAAAATATTTTATAACTAATTAAAACTTCGAACGAATAAACCGAGGTGAAAGAATATCAAAATTCACAAATGTTGTTTAAAATTTAATAAAATGTGATTTACTTCAACATATTTCTAGTTTTTTTCACGATAATTGTTGAAATAGGCTAAAAATGCTATAAACGAACGCATCCATAATATGTTATTCTATTAAAATTGTACACAAGAAAAAGAATTACGTGAACCATAGAAATCTATGACTAAACTTTAAGCCGAAGAATGCATTAGATTAGAAAGACCACGAGAGAAAAAACATGGCGAAATATCTTAATTTTCTCATAAGTATGGCTATATACGACATAAATATTTTTTGGATACGAACTCATATCAATAGTTGGAACACGGATTGGGTCGGGTTCTACGAGTTGTGTAATCCAAAATCCAAACCCAACCCAAAAGAGACGGGTTGTACAAAAGAAAACCCTCACCCAACCCAAAACCTTAATTTTAGCGATAAATACGGGTGAATTGGGTGGGGTTGGAGTTGGACGGGTGAGTCAGTTTGCGGGGTGTTTGTTCACCCCTAATTCATCCCTCTTGGTGGTTAATCTATGTTCTCCTACATGGTATGGGTCAATCATAAGAAACATATATTGGCATCACAAACACAAGAATTGTGAGATTTGATTAACTGAATAAAGTGGATTGAGATAAGGTGGGTTGAATGTGCTAAAAGTGGGTTGGCTGTGTATCCCGACCCAACTCTACCAGTAGGGGCCAGGTAAGGTCAAAGGAGATTAGGGCCGGGCTGAACCAGGTTGGATATTGTCTTATAGAGCCGGGTATTTTAGGGTAGTGACCACTGACCAGGATTGGAGCTAGGAAGTCATTCCGACACTGCCGAAGAAATCTTGACCAAAATCATGGAGTCATAAGAAACATATAATGGCAGTACAAACACGATCCTATGAAGAACTTTGAATGTGTAGCCTGACAAAACCCTACCTGTTCGAGCCAAACAAGTCAAAGGAGAATAGGGCCGAGCCGGACCAGGTTGGATGTTGACCTAAAGAGTCCGATATTTTAGGGTAGTGACAGGACCAGGACTGCATTTAGTCCAGATTCACCCCTAAATAAAGGTCATGGAGCTAGGCAAGTCATTCCGACTCTGGCGAAGAAATCTTGACCAATATCCATTATGAAACATATATTGGCAGCACAAACACGATTCTGTGAAGAACTAAAAGAGATTTTGATTAACTGAAGAATCCATATAGACATTACTACATTCATACATGAGCAGCCACTGTTTCTTTTTTCCCCCACAAGAAATAGTTTCTTCTTGTATTTCTTCCCTTCAGTTAAAATTTCCATTTAGAACAACTTCCGTTCAGTCAAGTCACTCTAAAACCAAAATCAAAATTACCCATTTGGTAATCTTCTTCTTCTTCTATGAAGTTAGCAGCCGAGTTCAAATGAGTCAGGAACTGCCCCCTGAATGGTCACTTCTTGCGCATCTGAACATCCGGAGAGTTTTGACGCAAGGGCGAAAGTGGCTGCCTAAGTGGATCCAACTCCTGCACAAAATCAATCTTCCCTCCAACTGATGAACCGATCCTCATGGGACTCGATTTTCGCTTGCTCCTCTGCAACCACAGAAGTTGCAATAGACAACAATTAGAAAAGCTTGGAGACTATGAATAACTAACTAACTGCCATGAGACACGATACACACATTGATTACAACAGAATCCTCAGTAATTAAGACTCGATGCACCCACCAATGAAATGGGACATATAATCATGGTATGTTTCCTTATCTTAAACAGATGACCATATGTTCGCATCTCGTCAAATCCACAAGATCAAGCAAAATTTAGGAATCTAAAAAACATCAATAAGGAAAGAATATAAATGCACCTACTCTATAAAATGGAAAACAATGCTAGCAAAGTAGGCAAGTCCTAAGGTGTCTAAATGCCCAAAGCCCTTCTCCCAGGACAGGGATGGTCGTGCAGCTGCTAGCTTAGGTCGTTCACATTCTTTTACAACTTAAATAATCATCAGTCTAGCAAATCCAGTTCTTCATCTATATACGTCTCTGATTCTGTGATTGTTATTTATACACTCTACACTCTACAGGAGTATTGGAAGATGGGTAATAAAAACTACCATAGCCAATCCAGTGTATATGCACTTTGAGTTTACTGGAACGTTTTGATGAAAGTGTGCACAGGTCAAGTCAACCGTGGGTAGATAGACACATGGATAATGGCATAGAACACAAAGGAAATCACACTGATGTGCACAAACAAGTAAGCCAAGGCACAAGTCAAATTTCTTCTCCCTCTTCTATTTTTTAGTACCTTGGCAGATGCACTACTCGATTGCTTTTCGGCAGACGAATCAAGGTTACTTGCTCTGCGCAGTTGTTTCACTAGCTTTCTGTTCTCCTCGTTCAATATTTTGTTCTCTTGGAACAATAACTCCACCTACATCCATCAACAATTTTTCAATAAAACCACCAGCCCATGTTCATTGAAGAACTTCAAGCCCAAGATGAAAACAGTTTGCTGTTTCTTATCTCACCTCCTCTTCAGCTCTAGCAAGGTTGATCCCAAGATGTTCTTTTTCATTCTCAAGTATACTCACTTTTGAAGCTAGTGACAAAACCTTTTGGGTTGATGGCTTCAAGCTGTCATGGAGAAGACTAAAGTAAGAAGTATGTAGGATTGATCGAGTAGTGACCTTCTATTGTTATATAGACTAAAACAACATGATCCAGCAAGAAAAAGATGACAAACAAAAGAGAGGTTCGCTACCTGCTCCATATCTTCAGCAACTTTCGACATGACTCCTGCTCCCTATTCGCTTCGAGAAAAGCACGACCAGGATCAATTGCGTCTTCTCCGGTTAGTGTTGTTAGAATAGATTCAAGGTTCTGCCCTTCCAAATCTGTAATCTCTGCTGACAAACCGTCCGACTTGATCGGTAATGCCAGCAGAAAACTAAATCAGTTTCTTCCCCAAATGAGACATTAGGTGAAAAAAAGAGCGTGAGAATGATGGAAAGCAGATAAGATCAGACCAGTCCATAGCTATCACATAACACAGCGACCACGCAAAATGTGCAATTTCTAGGAGCCCATGTTCTCTCTAAAGAATCAAATATCGCTAAAGAACTACATATAGAAAATCGAAACCATCTTCTAAGGTGCAGAACCCTGCTAACTCATGAACTCTGAACCAATTTCGGCCATCAAAAGCACTCTTTTGCTACTGATGATAACATTGAACCTAGGGGAATCATGCTAATTCAGCAACTCTATTTCAGAACTCAAGTTGATCGAACATCATAAACCGCTCTCAGTTAACATTCAAATGATGATTCAAGTAAACCAACAATGCCCTAGCAAGTTCCTCACGAGAGACTGAAATTAACATTTTTTTCCAGTTAAGAAATCAGGAACAATACCCCACGGCTCTCGTACTGATGCTTGTAAAACTTCAGCTCCTCTGACAAATTCCCTAGCGCCACTTCCAACTCGTGAACCCTAGTTTCAGCATCTTTGGCCCTCTCATCCGCCTCATTCCCAAACTCCATCAGAGCCTCCCTGTCATTGTCATAGAGCGTGCACTCCCTTTCCCACTTTTTACACTGCGCCACCAAATTGGAGCACTCCGCTGCCAATTTCTGATTCTCCTCCACGAACTTCTTCAGCGCCACTGCGTTCATAGTGGCCTCCGCCTGACCTCCAAAACCGTAAGAAAAAACGAAGTGGAATCAAACACAAATTCACATCAACAGTCTGAATGGGGGGACACAGATCCGAGGGAAAACAGTGGGAATCAGATCTAAAACCTTAGCGCGGTCAAGGAGTTGCTCTTTCTCGCGGAGCTTCTCGTCGAGAACAAGGCACTGGTCCCGGATGCGGCGATGGGCATCCTCGGAAGCTCGAAGCTTTAGCCGGAGAGTTTGCGTTGAGACTGGGAGGCCGAAGGAGTCGTCGATCGTTTCTCTCAAGTACTCGTCCAGTTCTTGCGGAATCTCCATGTGAGATGGTTCGACTGAATCCGATGAAGAGAGGGGGGAGGGGGAGAAAGAAAGGAACCCTAGATTGGGATCGGAAACGGTTTACGATTTGGATTGAAACAAGAAGAAGACGGGAAGATCAAGAAGTCAAGGGGGGGGTTTGGGAGTGAGATTCAGATTTCGCAGCGAATTAGCGGGGAATGAATTTGGGTGGGCTAGGGTTTGGGGGGGAATTTCGATGGCTTGGCTTCTCGTATTTGCAGTCAGTGCTGGGAAGTGGCTGGATATGGGAACTTGAATTCCCAGTTCAAACTGCGGGATGGAGAAGAGAGAGAAAGGAAGAGAAATTAGCCGTTAGAGCGGGTTTTCAAGGGACTAATTAGTAATTACACGTAAAGCCGTGTTGCTCGTTCGCAGGCTCGCTCTAACCCGGAAGTGAATGTGGGCCGAAAAGGCTTGACATCGGTTCTGCTCACTTAAATTGAAGCCCATCGGTGGTACGAATGTTTTTTTTTATGAATGGATTTTTCGTATCTAGCGTTCATTCCTAATAAAATGGGTTATAGATTTGATAAAAAAAAAGTCTAGAGATGGACAGGATCATAAGAAGAAAAATGTTGGGGGTGTTACTAAATACTCTGCGTACAGACTAAGTAGCAGGGCACAAATCGGCGATGCACAACGTTCGATACCCGCTATAAGTATATAAGGGCTTGAAACCCTCCAAGGAAAAAGGACCTCTTCTTTCTCCTCTCTCACTTTCCACTTTGGTTATCTCTCTAAACTTTCTCTCTCTACATTATTCTCTTAACTCACTTTAAACATGAACTAACTTGATCGTTGGAGCTTAATCCGGGGGCATCCCCGACCTTCCACAAATTATTCCCTCCCGACGAGATCTGACGAGTGTATTGCGAGTCAAGCCCCACACCAACAAATCATTGTTCGAACTGGAGCCAGACGGTCAGTGGCGTAGCCAGGATTTTGAGTAAGGGGGTGCCAATTTAAAAAAATTAAAATGACTATCAATTTTTTATAGTGACCCACGACGGGTTTTCGTATTTTGAAAAGTCTGTAAAATACATTCGTTTACTTCTTGAATAAGCATGTAATTATGAGGGTTTTTAATTTAATTTACTTATTATTTGTAAACGGTAAATTATATATTATGCAATAGAACGTATTATTGTACCATGTAAGTAATTGTTGTTTAGTGGAAGATGTCAAAGCTAATAGTAAGGGGGTTCCATGTTCAAATCCTAGCTATAACATAAACTAATACCCCTATTTTTTAATGTTCTAGCCCCGAGCCAAGGGTGTGCCGTCCAACACGGTGTCTCCGCCCCTGCAGACGGTACAAACAGAAAACTATGAAAACTCAAAAGTAAATCATCGCACATTTATTGCCCTCGCGGTAACAATGAGAAATTGTCACTTCCTAGTTATGGTCGGGTAATTCCCAGAAGCGATGTATGATGGCGTCATGTTGATGATACGACATCCCCTACTTTAGAAAAGTTGTAGTGAAAATCTAGAATCAAGTTCCCCTCCAACCGATATCTCATGTCAGCTAAAGACCTTTGACAACCCCTCGATTATGCTCGGATGATGGATCAGACACCTAAGTCCAAAGTGAATGTTGCAAAAACCCAACCCCTTATGAGTTTTTTGTTGTGTTTTATATCCCGAGACACTTTCTTGTAATGGAATTTTCTCCTAATCCAACCATCATTCTTCACTCCACATCTACTAATTAACTTCATTCCACCTTCTCCCTGTTTCGTTTTCATTGATGGCAATGTTGTTTTTAAGTGTGAGAGTGTATACTTGTGAAAGGTTGTGTCTTATGATTTGGATGATAGAGAGTGATTGGATCCTAGATGTGTATCACAATTTCTCAAAAATATGAGGGGTTCTCGGCACAATTATATTTTTTTCCTTTGAATGTACAATGATGCATTATCATAGTGGGCACTTTTGATTTCGCGTCTGCGTGGGTTTTAGTAGATGAGAGCTCATATTTGCAAGACAGACACAACTAAGGAGGGAGAAAACACATTTTTACGACCCTAGAGAGAGCGATCTTGGAGAGTTTTTGAGGAGAATTACACCAAATTCATCTATTGGAAGCTCAAGAATCAAGAAAAAGAGTGGAGATTGAAGAGGAGTGAAGATCCAAGCAACAATGTTCATCTTTCTTTCTTTGTTTAAGCTCTCTTTCCCTATGATCTAAGCCTTTCTCTTCACTTGTGTTTAAGGAACTCTAGCTAGATGTAGTTGGCTGATTGATTGTTTGCGAACCTATACTGATATTGCTTATATTTCTATATCAATCTATGTTTTACTGAGTTTCCTAATCTTTGCACAAGTTTGGTAGATTGTGTTTTGACATAGGAGAGAGAAATTGAATTGGGTTGATTGAACACACATATATTGGAAGGCGTTGAGTAATTGCATGAAAATGTTTGATTCCTTATGTATTGGGTGTAAGCCCTCTAGTAGGAATCTAGGTCTTAAAACCTTGTTTGGTTACTTTGATTGAAGAACAGTATCTCTTGACTAACTTTCAAGAAGTTCATGAATGCATTAGTGTTGATCCAAGGTTAATAAAGGATTCCCCGCATTATCTGAGTAAATATGAAGGGGTGCACACTTGCACCATTTGTCATTTGATTCAAAAATAGGGGGAATCAATACCCTGGTAAGTCTTTTCACTTAAGAGTCCAATCAATTGCATTCTCTTACCTTAGGGAATTATTGCATTGTTACTTTGGTAGTGTAGTTGGTAGAAGTAATTGAATTTGAAACTCAATTTGGTTAGATAATATTTTGAATTTTAGTACTAATAAAACTACCTAGAGACTCGAGGAATACGATAATTTATCATTTGTAGGCACTATACTACGAACACGGCTTACTGTCCAATATGTACCAGCCGGGCGCGCGACTTATCATTAGCTTACTTGTCTTCGTTAGGAGTGTTAGTTCGCAACGATTAGATGGGTAGAGGAAGAGCGATACTATGGAAAAGTAGGATATAGGAGGTGGTATCGTACGAAAGTTGGCTTTCTCTGCGTGCGATTAATTAACAGAAAGAAGGGGATTAAATGGAGAGATGACAAAGAGTGACATTGAAGCGATAGGTGTACAAAAGGATGTCATTTATGTGTATGATTCAAGAACATAGAGGAGGGAGAAGAAGATGCAACTCTGCTGATTGAGCTGAGATGAAAAACGAATAAAGCAAAAGACGAGAGATAAAAAAACAAAGCATCGAGTACTTCCCCAAACATGCACCCAAAGTTTGTGAAAAGATAACTAAAAGGCTACAAACCGGAACAAGCACCCAAAATTTGTAAAATCTCACAAAAAAACAATAGTTGGTTGGGATGGGATGGGACTATGGGGAATAGTAGCCTGGAAAGATGTTCTTTTAAAGTTTACTTAATAATAATAATAATAAATATTACTGGAAGTGCTACTACTGGCTAGCTAGGTGGAGTGGGTACAACAAGGTTGTAAAATCGGTAGTCATTAAGTCGGTCAAGCAAGGAGTTTGAGGTTTAATGTTCTGATCGGGGTCTAGATGGTTTGAGCCGTTTTAGAAGTTTTCAAATATATATACAAATAAGATTGTAATTAAAGATTTAATGACTGAAATGAAATTTATCTTACATATGTTTCTATTAAAAACTTATTTCCACAAAATAAATCTACCTAACCTCCATGACCCCACCCACCATCTCCCTTCCTTCGTTCATCTTCCTCTCTTCTTCTCCCTCTTTAACGGTCGCAGCGGCGGATCTAGGGCTGGGCCAACCTGGGCCACGGCCCAGCCCTCCTCCGGATCTAGAGCTAATATAGTGCTTACAAATTTTCTGATTTTAGGTATTCGGCCCAGTACTATTTAAAAGTCGGTCGATTGTTATTTGATAATAGAATTTTGTGCTAGAAAACTGGTGTAGATAAACATATACAAGCAACTACTCACAATTTATCCTAGAAATTCTAGCCTGAATGATTTTCATTTGAAATAAGAAAACCCTCCAAACAAATTGATTTGTTGGATGATTCGTCTAGTGTTGACCTTGCCAGTTTATAGCGGCTACCTGGAGTGAACATTTTAAGCAATGAAATATGTGAAAACTAATTTGCGCAACAAAATGCGCGATGAATTTTTCATTGATTGAATAGCTATATTTATTATATATTTTTGGGTAAATACAATTTATTAATCAAACCTGTTGGGCATATGACTCGGACCGTCCCCGCGCCAAGGGAACATATCGGACCGCGCGCCACAAGGGACACGGCCGGGCGCGACACCATCGATGGCGCGAAGACCTCGAGCGCGACAAGGATAAAGCTACGTGCGCAAGTGAAGTGACCAGGCGCCGACCGGACCAAAGAGCCGCAGAGGGTGTCATCACACTTCCCGAGGGAAGGTCACATCAAGGTCCTAGATACAGTCATAGGTAAGCCCCTGACATGTCCTAGGTAGAGGGATGGCCTAAATCCCTGACATGTCAGTGGTCATGTCATTGTACCCTCATGTAATCCACCCACTCACCCACCACCATGTAGCCTATAAATATGGCATTTACTCCGGTGGGTGAGGGGATCGCATTTTGAGTGATTCTATCTCTATAACATCAACTTCTCTCTCTAAAAACTCCAACTCTTTGGTTCTCATCTTTCTGAACGATTTTCCCCTCTTGTGTTCTTCCTGACCCACATTCTTCCCCGAACCTCACTCCTACACTCAGTTAGGTTCAAACAAAACCTTTCAGACTTTCCATATTATTAGCCAAACCTTTCAAAATATAAAATATTAGCTAAATCTTTTGTAATGCATCAAAATATTAGCCATTTGTCTGTTACCGTTGGTAATTTTGTAGTTATTTTCTAATTTGAAATCCTAAAATTTTGGAATGTTGCCTATTTTGTTTACGATATCTAATAGGACCCTATCTAATATTATATTCAAATGCGGCCCAGTGCTTTATTATGTTCTGGATCCGCTGCTGAACGGTCGGATCGGGGCTCTCTGGAGACCGTTTTGAAACCTACATTAGGTCAGACTGGGTACAACCGGAAGTTCGATAGAGGTTTAACAACCTTAGTTACAACATACAAGCAAACAAAAAAGACTTGTAGTTTTATATACTAACTAATAGTTCCGCAGAATGAACAAGAATGTATTAGATCTCAGCTTTCACTTCCTCTGGAACCACCTCAGTTGTAGTGGAAGTGGGTTTGTTGGCGATCGTCGACTCCGCAAATTCTTCTACCTTGTCCCCCACTTCTTCCACCTGCAACATACAAAACGCATCCATCCAGTTTAATCAATTTGCCCACCACCACAATACACATTAACTTGAGTCATTAATATTCGTAACCAATAATATCCACTGGCCTATACCAGTGGACAATATTTATAATCAACTAATTATTGTCAGCCAGCCAGACCAATTAAAGTTGCTTTCGTTGAAGTTTCTTTGGGTTGATGCAATCAGAGATCTCTAAATCGTAGGTGTTGACCTTTCCAATAATCCATTGAGCAAGCATGAAAACTTCCCAACTCTTTTGTTAAATTCGCATCAACTAATTATACCTATCTATGCAACCAGGGCTAACCTAACTGATGAGTCGGCACACTTCCCATTGTAAAGGTCGTGTGTTCGATTTCTAGTAGCCGGCACTTCCCCTTCCCCTTCTAGCTAGGGTTTTACCTTATCGAGAAGATCGGCAGTATATTCAGCAACCTTTTCGGTCTGATCTGCCAAATTCTCCACATACTCGAGCGCGTCTCTGAGAGCACCCGCCGGAAGGCTGTTGCCGATATCGTCGACCACCTCCTCCACCTTCTCCGCCACGTCGTCCACCATGTCCGCCACTCCCTGCGCCGTGTCCACCGCCGCATCAAACTTATCTGCCACCAACATCACCAAATTAAGACTTGAATAATACTTATTAAACTACTGGCTCATTATAATTAACTACTGGTAATTATTAAATTAGTAAAAGAATTACCGAATAACTTTCCCAGGGGGCCCAACTTGCCGGTTACCAATGGTATAGCGAAACTCGCCACCGCACCTAGAAGCCATAGTTGCCTGCGACAAACTTAATGAAATATTGTTAATACATGAAAAAAAATGGATGTGTAATAATAAAATAAATTCTATGAAAATAATAAGTAATTACCATTGGGAATCGTGAGGAAGATCAAAGGGGAGGGAGATCCCACCCGCGGGGAGAGCAGCGACGGCGTCTGTTGCCGCCGCCACGGGGTCAACGCCGCCACTCCGGACAACCACGCGTGAAGAGAGTGATGAGGGTTTCACCGACGAGGAGGAAGTCATCAGCTGGTTCTTGGAGAGACGGCCTAGTGAAGGAAACCCGCCGGAGTAGTTCTCCACATGACGACGATGATCATCATGAAGCCCGGCGACGGCAACAACAAATGGAGTCCTGCTGCTGCTTGCTGTTGCTGGCAACATGTTTCCTTCTTCCTTCTTTTTCTTTATGGTTGGTTCAATACTTCAATTGGTAGGGTTGGGTTTTTTAGTAGTTGGAACTTGGAAGTGGGAACTCCACCACCACTAGCCACTATTTAAGGTGGCTAGCATGATTGAGATGATAAGCAGAAAACAATGGTGTAATTATTAATTAATAATAAATTAATTGATAATCACACCCGTTCCTAGTACTATGTTATATGTTTTATTAGGTACGAAGAATAAAGGGGAGGCGGTCAATTTGGATTTCTGCACGTTTTCCTCGGTCGGTCTCCGTTAAACAAAAAGAAATGACGCGGGATTTGCATTGCATGCGCAGCTGCCCAGAAGTTGAAGTAGTAGTCATGCTCTATTCATTGTCATTAGTCAATAATTAAGGCTCAACTAACCACCAATCCGCAACCAGTACCAACACCCAGCTTTCAACCTGTTAGCAAGGTTAGGTATCAATTGTTGTAAAAAAAAAAAAGGTTAGGTATCAATTATTGGACCTTGTAAAGAAGCCGGGAATGAGAATGAACACCTCTCCCAACACAGACACAGGCTACTTTCCAGATTTATTATTGGGACATGCAAGCACATCATGTCAATAAATTTATGTCGCTACTCAACAAGTTTTTTTTTTTTTTTACTATGTTGAGCCTGACTTTTAGAAATGTTTTTGTTCTTTAAAAATTGAAGCCGGATCAAACATCTTTATGAATCCAATTTTTAGAAAAAATAAAAAATAGTCTTTTTGTAACATAAAAACAGAAGCTCGAAATTCAAACCTGTGCCAACAACTATTTTTTGAAATACACGATTATAGGTTACATGGTGATCTGTTCCTGCTCTTAATTTGCCGATGCAACTCTCCCTTTATATAGTGTGCGGTGGCTGTCGGGATCCAGACGAAACACCATCATTAAAAATGACCGTCTTTTGCGTTCTCCTTCCCGCCGTCTCTTGTAGGCGATGATGCAGGGGCGGAGCCAGGATTTAGAGACCGGGGGGCCGAAAATAATTAAACAAAATCTATGCAACCAATATGGATCGAACCCGTATGCTTTAAGACACAATTGTCAATCTTATCTACCATTAGATCACATAACTATTACATGATACAATTTACTGAACAAGCTCTACTTATAAAATTTGTACTAAATATCCTTAAACACCTAGGGGTCGGGACCAATCCCGGGGCCGAGGCCCACCCTAGCTACAATGTAGCTCCGCCCCTGCGATGATGGTTCTAGTTCGCAAGAAGAGCAGTAAAGAACTCAGGTGTTTGGCTTCCATGGGGTAAAGGAGCTCCACAAAATGGAAGATTCATCCTTTCCATCAATATGCAATATTTCAGAGGTGCTGGACCACGTGGCGGCAGCCATTCCTTCTGATAAATTATAAACAACTACGAACATCAGCTTGATCTAATGACTAATAGTATAACTACAATCACTTGTATTTAACTTGGCGGTTCACGATTCGAACCCGTTAAATAGTACATAACTACATACCCTTATCTAAAAAATAATAACTATGAACATTGACAATAATTTATTTTTGGAGATGGAAAAAAAATTAAAATGATTAATCAGACATGAATTATATATTCATATTATCCTTTATTAATCCAACGAGATGATATCAAAGAAATTCTTATATTAAACTTGTTGATATTCCTTGAATCAGACTATCAGACGCTACGACTGGAAGTTACGGGGGTCTCGCTGTTTGTGCTCAATGTTGTTTGGGTTCGTGTTCTGGGTATGCTGGTCTGTAACTGCTTTTCTTTTACCAGATTGGATTACGGTTAGACTTTGGAGAAGTACTATAAATACTTCTCATACTCTATATCTCCTTTTCAGGGTGAAAGTCATGAATCAAGTCTACGCTGTCAGATGAAAGCAGTGCACTGAACGCCGTAAATTAGGTGAAATCCTCTGAAACTTCATTGCGGCTATGACAGGAAGACTAACAACACTATTGATATAATCAAAGTAACGCAGCCAGCAATTCAATCTAGAGATTGATTTGGAAAGAAACATAGTTTCAAACCAAAAGCTGGGACTAGGTTTGGGATGGTAGATTGAATGTGCAACTTCAACAAAAAATTGAGCAGAGGCTCGATCAATAGAAAGGGTGGAAGCTCGACCACAATCAAAATGGATGCTTGATTGATACAGAGACAAACTCAGGCAACTGGAATCCACCAATTACTACGAGCAATTCACAAGCCAAAGCTCAATGAACAAAAGGGTAGAAGTTAGATTGATAAAACATGTATGTTCCAACTCGGCTTCAAGGCTTTTAAATAGACTTAACAACATGAATTCCACTACTAAACTAACAAGGAAAACAAAGTTAACTAAAACACTAAAATTCCAAGCACAACAGGTAAGAAAATCGACCCCAAATTGTTTCGTTATTCATCCAACTGAGAAAAGATGCTCGTGGAGAAGATCAAGCAGGGGAAGGAGGTGCTCAGGTATGTCTGCAATCGATGGGGGAGATAGATCCGGCAGCGGAGTCACCTTCGAGGAAGGAGAATATGGAAATTGAAAATGGTAAGTGCAGGTGGTGTTGGGATTTTTAGTGATGTGAATGGAAATAAAAGGGGAAAGTTTCAAGAGAGTCTCTTGAAGTACCATGTTGGTAAGATGTGGGAAGGCATGGCCTCGAATTCGATCGATTTGATGTAATATGTGGTTAATTGGTTAAATTGGTTTGTGTAACCAAATGAACCAAACCGAGTTGAACCAATTCGAACCGAACCGATATGGCGGTTGGAATAACCAAACCGGTCCAACTTCCATGAGGCCGAACCAATGCAATGGTTGAAATATTTTAAACGAACCAATGCAATGGTTGGGGTGTAACCACCCATATGAAGAGTTGCCTCCCTTCAATGCATCCCTTCATTTTCTATAAATAGCACCATACCCCCTCTTGTTTTAACTACGAGTTTTACATGGATTTTTCCCAGTACTGAAACTCTGCCAAAATCCAAAACTAGTTCTTCTGCATTTTTTTCAAAGGGAAAATAGAGTCAAGTGTGGTTCTCGCCGTTTCGCTGCGTTCGATGGTTTCCGGGGTTTGAGGTACCGCTACGCCGGAAAAGGTACGTCCTTTCTATCCTGGGAGGAATCATTCCACAACCTTGGGTACTTGAGGGGAATAAGATTCTTTAAGGAGAGATAGTGAATTCTATCGGCTAGGACGCTTGCATGTGTCTTTGCATGTTTTTTTCTTCTTCTTAATCTTATGTGTTTGTTTGTGTTGCAAAAAATAGTATACGTGAACAATTTTCCCAACAATATTAAAGAATCTTACTTTGTTATTGTTCACGTATTATGTTTGATTTCTGTTTCTGTGTCTTATTGTATAAGCAACCATGGTTCATCTCTATTTGTTTGCCATGGGAAAATGGCGTTTATGCATGTAATCGGGTTTTACTGATCTTTGTATCGGGTCAATAAAATTGGTCGCATGATGAATTAATCAAATTGCTTTGGATGGCAGTAGATTGCATAAAGTTGATTAGATTATGATGGGAAAGGAATCAGATCATTCATGCATGCATATATATATATATGCCTCAGATATTTACACGCCATAATCACTGTTGTTGGTTATATATATATATATGTTCATCTGCATATATATATGTTTCACTCTGCATATATGTTAAAAAAAAATTGCTTTCGGCCGCTGGCAAACTCTTGTGATTTGGTGTGTTTCGCTGGAACTTTGCTTGGGCAATGTTTGGACAATTGCCGAGAAACGCCGGAAAGAAGAGAGGAAAAAGTGGCATTCGATTGTCATTGACACCGATAGAAAATGGCATTTGACAGGAATCGGAAATAGGTAATACTCTTGCCCTGTATCTTTTAATTCCTGGTGGATTCTGAGGAATAATGGATAAATTACACGTATGGTCACTCAAATTATATAAATCTTTCATGTTTGCCACCCGAATTACTTTTCTTTCTTATACGCCACTAACTTTACGAATCTTTGCACCGTTAGTCACCGGCCGTTACACTCCGTTAAATTTGTCCTACGTGGCAGTCAACTATAAAGTTTGACTGTTAACTAGATGATGTGGAAATTAAAAAAAAATTAAAAAAATTAATTTAATTTTCCACCTCATCATTCCACTTAAATAAAGATTGATTCTATTAATTATTTAATAAAAATTAATTATATTAAAAAATAATTATGAGCGACATTGAGGAGGAGGAATCTCTCCAGCTATGACAAGTGCCTCTCCCACGACCAAGCCCGCAAGGTCGCGGCTGGGGCTCAACAACCTGTTATGGGACTGGGATTTGCCCCGCACCCGCGAAGGGTTCTACCGATTCAAAGGTTCGGTGATGGCTGAAGTGGTCCGAGGCAGAGCATTCGCTTCCCTTACGGATGTGATCCGGATGGAGACATCGAGCCCCGATTTGGTGGAGTGCACGGATGAACACAGACGCCAAAAGCACCGACCAGAGCACCACAATCGTCGGCGTCCTGTTCTGCCGCCCCATCAAACCCTTCAAGAACGGGTACAAATGGAGTATAACCCAGAACGCGAAGAACACTTTCCCGAACAATGGCCCCCAAGCTTCGTAGCCTTTGTTCAACGCGTCGGAGAACCCTACCACCACCCCGACAATGTTCACGATCAAGAGGGTCGTCGGAGGGATGAGAACCGTCGTCCATTTCACCATGTAGAGCTCTCCAAACTCGGCGTCCTCTGCCGCCTTGGTCGTGACCGTGAAGTTTGTGTCGATTCCGGCTAGCATTTTCAGGAAGCCTTGGAATACGGCGAAGAGATGTGCGGATACGCCTCCGATCACCCAGAATTGCTCGTTGCGCCATAGATCCTCGATGCTCACCCCGCTCCATCGCAGCTCCAGAACCGCGGTCAGGATGATGGACATGAAGAGGCCCAGGAAGAGCACGCTCGCCAGGTTCGACAGCTGCAATCAGTTCATCAGCCACCGAAGTGTGCGAGGTTAATTATGATCTTATATCACTCTCTTACCATTGAATTGAGAACTAGCCATGGTAATCACTGTAAATTCAAATCATTGACTCCCCTGTTTATAAATCCTGTCATAACCCATGTAGTAACGCGTTTATAAGTAGATTTGACTTAGTAAAAAGACACGTTCTTTTATTATTTATTTTCCTTGGTAATAAAGTTATTTTTTAATATAATTATTTTTTATTAAATAATTAATAGGATCAATCATATAAATAAAGTAAGTGGAATGATGAGCTGGAAAATTAAATTAATTTTTTTAATTTCCACGTCATCATGTTAACAGTCAAACTTTATAGTTGACTGCCACGTAGGACAAATTTAACGGAGTGTAACGGCCGGTGACTAACGGTGCAACAATTCGTAAAGTTAGTGGCGTATAAGAAAGAAAAGTAATTCGGGTGGCAAACATGAAAGATTTATATAATTTGAGTGACCAAACGTGTAATTTAGCCGAGGAATAATGTATATATATATATCTATATATATGTGTGTTCCCTCTGTATATGTGTGATTAACGGTATGACATGGATTAAGTGTCGTTGGTTAATTACATGGATTAATGATTAATGAATCAGATTTGTCATGTTTAATTGCAACGTTCGTATATATTAGAAAGGTGTATACATACGTTTGAATAGAGGCAATATATGTCTTGGTTCATGCATTGAATATATAACCTTCTACATGTTCAATTTCTTGCTTCGAGTAATGCGGTTGAAAATTAACCAATTGGGTTTGGTTAGTGATGTCAAATACTTTTGTAGTATTTGAAACGAGAATGAACTCGTAATCATATTATGAGAAGAGTTCAAGGAAATTCAACTTGTTTGAATTTAGAAGAATTCACGTTGAATTCTTAGAAACAAATTTATTATAAAATTTGTGAGTTTCAACTTTGAGCACTTGAAAGTTGCAACATACCAGTTTGGTTCTACCAAGTTATTTGGAGTAAAATTGCGGGAAGTGTTCCCGAGACATGGAGTTGATCCATGATGATAAAATTATGTAAATGATATATTTACATAATGATAAGTAAAGGGCATATTTCCAAAATGGAAATTGGTTGGACAAAGCCATTAAGAGCTTGTTTGATTCCAAAATTAACCATCATGTTTTTAATGCGTTTATCGCATTGGTGCAATTCATTTATGTGGTTTGATAAATGAAAATTATGCCAATTTAGTTTGGCACTTGTTTATTCAAGTTGATGCATGAGAGGATGAAAGTACTTATAATAGTCCTTTATGGACTCTAAGTAACGGTGGTTTGGATAGTAATAAACTATCTAGTGGGAAACTATGAACAATCATAGGTATGTAAAACCTATGACGCGTGGCAAGTAGGGACTTGTGAGTCAAGTTTATCTAAGCCAGAATGTTTGCATAGGTTATGTTCAAAGTAAGTTGAACATAGTTATGAAAGAGTATACCTCCAATGTGTTGGAGATGAAGTTTGGTTAATGCACGTTTAAAGGTTTGCATTACGAGTAAGCCATAAGTGATAAGGAATTCTAATTCCTAAGATGCTTGTGATGACATAATAATTTGTTTATTATGTATGTGGTTTAGGACTTGATGTTTCCTATGCCACGAGGGCAAGGAAAATGAAGCTATGATTGATCCTTATAGGGATTTAATAAGCTTGCTAAATGATGGTTGTCATCAAGATAAGCATTAGGTCATAATTGTTTATGGTATAAGTACACTATACCATTGGAAAATAATTTGACTATGAATATCAACGTAGAGCTAGTTGCCAGAACTGTTTATGGTATATATAGATATATATCAATGGAAAACAATTTGGCATGAGAGCTCAATTGAGATAATCATATTGAACTTAAAGTCTGGATTACTTATGGTATATTTATGAAGTTTATACCATTGGAAAGTAATTAGACAATTAAATTAGAAATTCGTTTGAATTACTTGTGGTATATCATGTTACATAGATGAAATGTCATTGGAAAGTAATTAGATGAGATTTCCATTACTGGAATGCATCTGAATTACTTATGACGTCTCAAGTTGCCTTGATCAATACCATTGGAAAGTAATTGGATGATTTTTCTATTAAAATCTGAATTGTTTGTGGTATGCTAATCGAGTGAGATCATACCATTGGTAAACAATTAGATACATATAGTGGTTGGCAAGTTCAATAAGTAAAACCATGGAAAATAAATGGGATTATTCCATGATGTTTGGCAAAGGGTAGAATTGTGGGGGAGAAGATCTAGTCATTGTTTCGGCTACTATCTCAAGACCCTACAATGGGACGCAAACCTATCCATAAGACAAAAGTGGAAAGGTAAGCGAAGTCATACTTGAAAGTATGAAGGTGTCCAATGAGAAAATGAGAGTCGTTAAACCTTGTGGAGTTAACCCAGTCCAAGGGTATAACTTATGAGTAAACTCTAGCATATATTGACGTTATGTCAGAGAGCTAGAATATTTATTGATGTTGATCCACTCTTCCCAAAGAGATGATTTTGACCATATACATGAATGTATATGAACAACATTCCCCAAACCGGAAACGTTGGTTTCAACAACTATGGCGAAATAGTTGAAATGTGGGGGATAAAATTGGGAGAAGTGATGTGGAATGTCGCTTGGGTGATTCCAAAGTGAAATGATGTGAATACTTAGGAGTTTTATGTAAACTCTAAGTTAAGTCATAGATGTCACTACATTTGAAGAGATACTTGTGAAGTTTAAGTACTCTAAGGTTAATGAAGTAAAGAGACTTCAACACCGTTGGAATGTGTTATGATTATTGTAAGGCAATAAAATCAAGGCAAACACACATGATGTGTAGTGAATCAAAAGAGACGAGTCTTTGGTGAATTTTACCCAAAGGAACTCACTGGGTGAACCAAAAGCCATAGTCCATTAATGGATATGCATTTATGGTTAACGAGGAGCAGTATCTTGGAAAACGTCCAAGTTAAACTCTAAGACCGGTGAAGTTTAATAGTCTGGCCCGCAAAGACTGGCGTTAATAAAACGCATTTGTGCACAAAATGGTTATTGCTAGGGCTAGAAGTGTAATTTGAAAAATCTCGTCATTGATAATAGAAACATAACACTAAGGTCAATTTCTAGCGAATTTATCTAAGTTGATCATGTAGATCAAGTGATAACAAATGTGGGGCCCACCTAGAAATTTGTTAAAGCATCGAAGGGAATGGACTCGTGGCCTAGAACAAATCATCATGGCGGTAACTCTACATAAGCAGGATTGGCAGACCCAACCTCTAGGTTCAAGGAGAAAACAAAGTTGTGAATGATGGTCCGACATTGTCAACTTATTCAAAGTCCATTCTCATGATGAGACAATGTCCAACTATAAGGGTAAACCTAAAGATGGAAGGTTTTTAATGGCTTCTAAGTTTGACACAGGATGTGATCAAATAGTGTATTTTCGGAATACACGTTTAGAAATCACCTATGCGAGTGTGAAGTGGAGCCGCTTCAAGGAGAATAAAAGAAGGCCAGTTCTCTAAGCACTCATGAGACCAGGCGGTGTTCATGGCTGAAACGAACACAACAATGAGAACCAGTGAACGGATAAGAGTTAGGTGTGTGACATATGTTGTCTTAGTATACAAGCAAAACCGACGGTTCAAAGATATCACATCTACCGATTGGTGAGTATACTCTATATATGTTCACTAAGGAAGGTTCAAAGGGAAACCTACCTATTCCGATGCAACTAATTCTTAGTCGAGAATCACACGATATTTTGCATAGTTTTTAAAGTACAACATTCTCCATTCATGTGGGGGATTGTTGGGATTTTTAGTGGTGTGAATGGAAATAAAAGGGGAAAGTTTCAAGAGAGTCTCTTGAAGTACCATGTTGGTAAGATGTGGGAAGGCATGGCCTCGAATTCGATCGATTTGATGTAATATGTGGTTAATTGGTTAAATTGGTTTGTGTAACCAAATGAACCAAACCGAGTTGAACCAATTCGAACCGAACCGATATGGCGGTTGGAATAACCAAACCGGTCCAACTTCCATGAGGCCGAACCAATGCAATGGTTGAAATATTTTAAACGAACCAATGCAATGGTTGGGGTGTAACCACCCATATGAAGAGTTGCCTCCCTTCAATGCATCCCTTCATTTTCTATAAATAGCACCATACCCCCTCTTGTTTTAACTACGAGTTTTACATGGATTTTTCCCGGTACTGAAACTCTGCCAAAATCCAAAACTAGTTTTTCTGCATTCTTTTCTAAGAGAAAATAGAGTCAAGTGTGGTTCTCGCCGTTTCGCTGCGTTTGATGGTTTCCGGGGTTTGAGGTACCGCTACGCCGGAAAAGGTACGTCCTTTCTATCCTGGGAGGAATCATTCCACAACCTTGGGTACTTGAGGGGAATAAGATTCTTTAAGGAGAGATAGTGAATTCTATCGGCTAGGACGCATGCATGTGTCTTTGCATGTTTTTTTTCTTCTTAATCTTATGTGTTTGTTTGTGTTGCAAGAAAATAGTATACGTGAACAATTTTCCCAACATTTGGTACAAAAGAAGGGAAAGGGAGTGCGGGCCTGCGTGGATTGATTTTGTTTTTATTTTTGGTATGAGGGAACTTGATTTTAGGCGAGTATCTGGTACAGAAGAAAGGAAAGGGGTGCGGAGATTGAGTTTTTTTTTATAAGGTGGATTGATTTTCTGGACAGCTAATCCCCTTGATTTTAGGTTGGAGGGGAAAAGGTAAGCATGGTCTTAAGTTATCCGGTATACCGGCTAACCGTCGGTTATTAACTGGGTAGAATCCGGTAATACTAATGTAAATTTTTTACTACTGCCTACCGACACCGACAGGTAACAATATAACTGATAACTGCCTGTAACTGTTTTGGTAACCGGTCATACGATTAACTAATAAACCGATTACCATCCATACTTTTGGTATGGTAGTTGGGCTTTTGCCTTTTGATCTGGTGTGGACTTTGGGGTTGTTTGAGGGTTGTGGAGACCAAATCCTGCCATAAACCAGTTGCTCGGCTAGTAACTCGAGTTGTTGGGAGAAGGTTATGTTGGATTTTATACCACTCTTCAACACGCCCCCTCAAACGAAAGCGAATTCACGGGCTTGAAGTTTGCACAGGCCCACCATACCTTGTGCTTTTCAATCAACTGTTAATATTGGCGGTCGTGGAGATACGAACACACGACCACTTGGCCAAACCAGCTCTGATACCATGTCATAAACCAGTTGCTCCCAATAACTCGAGTTGTTGGGAGAAGGTTATGTTGGATTTTATACCACTCTTCAACAAATCCAACTCATAATGAACTTGACCAAAACTCCATTGTTTGCTTGCATGATTTGGATGAACCAAATTCATGGGGCCATGGACTTCCAAATTCCACCTATAGAGGTCAGATAATGATAATGTCAATGAACTTCCTACATACAAATCTAATTCGTCAAAATTCATCATGAAATCAAACAAGCAAACAATTGTGTTTTTCAAATTCACAATTGACCAATTCCATCATAAGTCCATAATTTTACAAAACCCACATTTTAAACCAAAACCTCTCCTTTTTCATATTCATGAATTAAACGACCTACTAGTTTCACTTGTTCCTTTAGTGGGTCTTGTGTGGTGTTGTTTTTGGACTGTTGGACAAGACTTCTATCCTTGGTGGACCATATTCAAACTCTATAACTTTCCTATTTCATAATGAAATCAGATTCTGTAAAAAAAAAAAAAAAAGCAACTCAACAATGCATATCAAGAACTTGAGAATGTATAACAAAACCTAAAATCAATACTAAAAACAACAAAATTTTGGACAAAAACGACATAGTGCATAGCAAAAAGCTGAAAAGGCACATGGAAAAAAATAGCGAATGCATGCTAACAACATGAGAATTGTTATCACAACCAATACTTAATTATCCATATTACTAGGATAATAACATTGTGGGTGTTATCAGTTAGCACGTTATCTCCTCCTCGTCACTCTCCAAAGTACCAACCATAGAAAGAGACATCACATGAAGAGAATTGCAATACGTAAATACATAAAGGCACGAACACGAATCCAAAATGCTGAAATTGGGGCATGTCTTGGGACATTCTTAAATAACAATGAGTTCAATTGTCATCTCCTCACACAATTAATTAATTTGTCTGCGTCCTACTGTCACTGACCGGTTTTGGCGCTATATTATGCATAAAAATACAATATTTAACAACCGCAACGTTTTAGTACCCACTGAATTATTTATACATTTAATTATTTTCAGCCTTCCTCCTCACTAATTCAGCCCTACAAACTACTTCATTTTCCCCATCCTTCATTTTGGTGAGTTACCGGCCGGACGACCAAAGAAATTTCACGAACATGTTGACGGTAAAGACATCGCCTGTATTTTCTGTGACGTTACAGCACGTGGGCGACGCCGCCGTCGGCAGCCGGAGGATCAATAACACCGATCAGGTGACAATTCCTGCTCGCCGGCTGCAACTCCTTCCGTCGTCCAGCGCACAACTACTTCTCCATCGGCATGCACGTACCTCGTCAAACAAGTGAGGCATTTTTTTTTTATCATGGGATTCTGTATTACTTTTTTTTTACTTAACAATTAGTACCATTAATTACCGATTAATTATGTTTTGTTCATGTCATTAAGGGGACGGAACGTGGTTGCTTACAGTAACGGTGAATCAGGAGGAGGAGCTGCTGTTCCTTCTCCCGCTCCTTCAAGTTCATCCGGCGGTTTTGACTGGTACATCATAATTAATTTAGATAAACAGGTTATTTAGTTTCTAATCTTAATTAGGGGTGTTGGGCTAAATGTGAATCAACAGGAAAGGGTGGCTTGTTGGGGTGATAATGAGCGTCCTGCTGCCCTTTTGGCGTGGCCAATTATGGTCACTCAAAAAGATACAAGGTAATTAATTAAGTTGACCGAGCTATATATATATATATATATATAGTTGGAATTTGATTGAAATCAAATTCTAATTTCGTATATATGCATACGTCGGCGGGCGACGTGGCAGTTAATGTGGAGTCTGTGCTGGAGAGGATGGAAGAGGTGGCGGAGACGGTGGAGGAGGTGGCGGAGAAAGTGGAGGAAGTGGCGGACGAGATCGGAGACAACCTGCCGGAAGGGGAGCTGAAGGAGATGCTGGAAAAAGTGGAGGAGGCTGCCGGGAAAGCTGCAAAGGCCGCCGACGTAGCTCAACAAGTCCTTGAAACGGTCAGATTCGTCTTTGCCCTTTCCTTATGCTCACGCCCCTCTTGTCCTTGTTTTGTCATAGCCAGATAGCTCTATTAGTACGATACTCATGTTCTTTTTGATTCGATTACGCAAGGTTATACTTTTGAGTATCCTCTCGTCAAAAGAACTTGTACTAATGAGTTTGGTGAACATCTCTTACTCGATCTGCATTACCAATTTTCCCAGCTATAATTAACCACGTTAACCCCTAATGTTTTATATGTGATATTTGTCTCTTTTTTTTATCAAATTCTGAACAAAATAATAACTGATGAATGCAGGTACAAGAAATGGAGGATCAAGTGGAATCTTACATCGATAAAGCTGCTGCCAAGAATAGACAAAAGAAGGTTAATTAATTAAGCTGCGATAAACTCACTATTGTACAGTTATCACAATATTCATCGGGCCATGGTCAAAAATGATAGGCGAAAGGTTTTCGGTTTTTTCCTGTGAGGTGTAGCTTAGCATAATAATGAAAGATGGTATATATCGTACGATATTTTTATATTTAATAAGTGCAACTGCAATCAACGTTAAAGGTTCACCATAATTAAAAAGTGGATTTTTAATGTAATTTGAGGTTAATTAACGACCCATTTTACTAAATAAAGATTTCAATGTAATTTTAATACTTTTGTTCTTTGTTTCTTCTCGTTCATGTTGAGATTCTTTTTCTCCATCGGATATTTTAATAAATATTGTGAATGTAAATAGCTTTGATAGCTAGCTAAAGTCTAAAGAGGTCTTTAATTTCATATTAATGACAAGAAGTGAAGATGTTTTTATAAATATTTTTCTCTCCCTTAAAGGTGTAATATATGTCGTGGTTCATTTTTCTCTTGACTAGTTGTCCTAAAAAAAGAGGACCGGAAAGCATTTGCCCTTATAAAAAGGAAGAGCTACCTAAGTACATACGAAATTGAGCAAAAATAAATCTAGATTGTAGAGTATTTTTCATTGATCTCCCTATTTTCGTACGGGCAAGGAGAATTGAGAATGAATACTTAGTCCTTGACGCAACAAGTTGATAGTTTGTTGTGCACAATTATGATGCAGCGCCATGAACGTTTTTAAAAAAGCGACCTAATCCGGGACTCAACTATGTTGGTAATCCTAGTTTTTTTGTTTAGTTTTCAACAATTTTAATTAAGATGTTGAGCTGTTGTCATGGCTACTGAACATAATATGGCGCGAGTTTATCAAAATCTGGAGCTACGGAGAACCCTTCATTCGTAGGGGTGGGAAACGAGAGGGGATGAGATACCCGTCCTGTTTGAAATTGGTACCCGGTCCCATTTGGAGAGCAATCTCCATCCCATGTCCCAAACCCATAAAGGTTAACGGGTACTCATTACTCGTACGGGACGATAACGGTTACCCATACTACTCGTGAATTGGGAGCAGCACAGTTGACTGCGGGAAATTAAAAATCAATTGTGCAATCCTTACTTACAAAATGCTGTCAAGCAGTCTTGTTCTAGAGAAAAGAAGACCCTGCAAATGAAAAATGAAGCAAGTGTTCTTTTCTTACTGGTGCCTTTTTTCCCCATGAAATTACCAGAGCCGAGAGAGATTGTGGTAAGAGTGAGAGTCTTCAGACTCTTCTGCTACCCAATTATACTTTGAGCACTTCATCTTCAAGTTGCTGAATAACGAGGGGAAATCTCTATCTACTTTGCTATTTCTTATGTACTCGATTCATTTAACTTTGGACTAATAATGGGTATAACGGGTACCCATATGTAACACCCAAACGAGTATTAACGAGTAATCTGCGCATTACCCAAAGTAGCGATTTTTTATTCCAATTCCCATCCCATAAAAAAAATATGGGTATTTGGCTACCCGTAATCCTAAAAAAACGGACGGACACGGATATACCCAAAAAACCGTTTCCCATTGCCCACCCCTATTCATTCGTAAAGAAATTATATATGTCTCCTCGTTAATTATACCATGGTATCTGGATCTAGTGATCTCAATCATTGCTTTCTCTTCCAATGAGCTAATTTCTGCCACTTGGAGACAAAAGATTGATGTTCTAATTGGTGACCAAGAAGTTAGAAAATTCCATAACCTCTATGTTTCCTGCTCTGGCCGACGATCCTATACTGATGCTGAGAAGACTGGTGATGAAAGGTGGAAAGAGGATTAACTCTTGTACAAGAGCTACATCCTCCTCAATCACATGAACAAGCCTAACACTGGCCAACGTGACTGAAGATGATGAGTTCAATGGCCTATATTATCATTGTCACAAACGTGGGGTGGCCCGACTTTAGGGTTTTCTTTGGCCTTTCATGTGTTTGAAAGCTGACAAGAATTACCAAAATTCAGCCCACCACAGTACTGGAATAGACGAATACTAGATGAGATTCGCCAACTCACAATGAAAGGGAGAAAAAAAAAAAAAAGGAAATCGCTGCCTTCCAAAATGAGGATAATAAATTAAGTAAAAAAGAACTGTTTTTGGGCAAAAAAATCACTGGAGGTCCACCAAGATATTCGTCCATTGCCATTTTTGCCATTTCAATTGAATTTGAGTAGCTAGCTCCATCCATATAGCAGCAGGCATTTAAGTTGACGACGAACCACTTTGAGCCCTTGGCATTGATGAAGAATTGATACTCACACACTACTATTCAACTACATACTCTACCATCCTTACAGCGACGGGAAAATGGGTGGATCAGCCGCTAAAACTAAAACCCACCCGCGAATTCATTTATTTATAATCCACTTAATACGTGTTTTCGATTGACATGGTGCAAGGGTGTGTGTGTCTGTCTCGTTTTTTATTTACGACCGTTAAAAGACAAATGACCTTTCTCTTGTATATAATGGAAACACCACTCATCATCACTTTATTACCACACCAACACCATATACATAATATAAGTTTTTTTTTTTTTTTGACGAAAATATACATAATATAAGTTGGAACATAACCACAAACAGTCTCTCTTTTGTTTATTTTATACAATATAACAGACGCCTTTCAAATTTCCCCCCAATCAATACTTACACAGATATATAGTTATTATTTTGTTTTTGCAGCTATCAGTTACTGTAATTTGATCTTTTCGTGTTAAGACTTAAGACAACCCAAATGAAACCCACCACCACCACCTAACCGTAAATGACCGCTTTTTTCCCCTTTCTATATCCGGCCCAGTTCACATTTATTCTGCCAATTTTTGTTGTCTGGTAGACTTGCTGCGCGTTTTCATTAATGGGCTGACATCGACTCACCCGCCCCAATTACTGCTCGTGGGCCGGCCTGTGGTCCTCCTTCACCGTCTCCATCGTTTTGTAGATGTAGTCGTACAAAGGCATGAACAGCGAGTAATTCTTCTGAAGCTTGGTGTGGTGCACCGAGTGATACCTTCGAATTCCCACAAAACAATACGTGTATAATAATTCATTAATCCGAGATGTAATTCACAAAAAAATATGCAAAAAAACGAGGGAGACCAGATCGGAGCCCCAGCAGCACGAGAGTACTTACGTGGGAGTGTACATGAGAAGGTTGAGGAGAGGGAAGTAGGCAAAGTAGTCAAACGGCGACCGGAAGTTGCAGTGTCCCATGTTGTTCATGAAGTCGATGTAGAAGATGTAACCGTAGATCGCCGCGACGGAGGCCGTTCCGGTGAACGCCACCGTCACCATCGGCACCGCAAACAGCACGATGTACGCCATTGTCTCCACGAAAGGGTGTATCACAGCTTCATTTCATTTTATTTATTTAGTCAACAAGAAAATCCCCATTAATTATGACCCATTATTCTACGTCGTACAATTTTTTATACGGCCCGACCCATGCCATTATTGTACATCGTACGTATTTCATGTGTATAAAAGATTGCTAGTTAAATTAATTACTTACCGGTAATTGGTTGAGTGACAACGGAGGAATGGTGGTGGGAGTGATAGCGAGAGTAGAGGAAATGGTGGTGCAGAGCTCTGTGAAGCCAGTAGTAGAGAAACTCCACCGGGCCGGCGTGGAGGACGGCGGTCAAAACGACGCCGTCCGTCCGCCAGAACGGGAGATCGGTTATCCAGCCAGGCAGCGCCGTCCGCACGCCGTACAGCAGTAGCCCCGACATAATGATTTGGTCGTCCCTAAAAATCCCGTTATTACATGTCACACATACTAATTTGATTGATTGATTAAGGAAAAAGACATGTAGCACGTAGAATTCAAAAAAAAAAAAAAAGTAAAGTAAACCACCAGTTGCTTTCGCGGCGGAGTTGGTGGGCGTCGATGGGCTTGTTGACGATCCTGTTGGCCGGAGTGGCGGTTCGGCGGCGGTGGAGAGAGAGCCAGACCTCGTTGTGGAGGAATCGGAGGAGGATGGCGAAGAAGATGAAGAAGGTGCTCAAGTCCGAAGTCGGATGCTTGACGAACTCGTACGTGTAGTGAGCCACCCATGGAGCCAAAACCAAGTACTGCCATGCATATTATTATTATGATACACATCAATTTTCAAGTTTTTTTTCAGGTTACTTAGAAGTTGAGTAGAAGAAGGGGAAGAATATGTTGAAGGGCGTTACCTTGAAGGGGCCAAGAGATTCCCAAGGCCAGTGGGTGAGCATTCCAGGCTGTGAAGCCATAGCTATTAGCTGTTTGATGTTTCGGTAGCTAGAGATTCACCCAGGCACGTATATATAGAGGTGTCTTGGGCTGGGTTCGATCGAGTTGCGGATTATAATAAGGTTTTGCGGGTTCAATCGGGTTGCGGGTTAGTCGGGTTCGGGTTCATTGGGTTGCAGGCCGATCCGGTTATGGGTTGATCAGATTACAGGTCGAAGCGAGTTATGAGGGGCGGATCGGGCTGCAGGTTGTTTGGATCAGTGCATCGAGTTACTTAGCCCATGACTCGCATTACTACAACTTACACAACTTGTTACACTAATTAAAAGAAAAATGTGACGTTTTTTAAGGCAATTTCTTTCTACCTCATATACGTAATTATAAAAGTTGAAAGAAAAATGTCAGTGTTGAATCGATTCGTACGACTTGCAAACAGTAATCTGATTAATCGTAACTAGTAAAGTACACTAGCTAGCTAATAGTAATGGTGATGTCAAGTAAATGTAAGATAGTCTAACGGTAAAACTGCCGCAACAATGAAGGTTTGAGAGTTGAAATACCCATGAGATATAAGCGAGGCCTGTTGGTGTTCCCGGAGGTATAAGGCTGTTGGGGGCGAAGCCTCGTTGGCGTCGAAACTGATTGCAGGTGGCCCAAATATTTAGTAGGCCCCACTGTCACAAAGTGAGACGTGGGGCTGAGATTCCAACTACAAAAAAGAGGTCTATGGCAAGGGTTTTTTTGACCTGTAGCAAGGGTTTTTCCAACCCGTGGACGAACCCTTGCCAATGCTGCTCTGCTACACGTAGCAAGGGTTTTTAGCAACCCATGGTGGAAGTCCCCTCCAAGGGTTGTAGCAGGGGTTTGAACCCCTACTACATATACCAAGAATTCCAACCCCTGCTACACTGCAATGTAAAATCCAACAGAGATACGTCTGTTTGGAAAATTTGTTGCTAAGACTAGCAAGGGTTAAAACTCTCGCTTAATTCATGACTAATTAATTTTGCAACCAATTTATAATGGTCACTAAAGAGAGACCTATAAGAATACAAAATTGTTGCTAAAACTAGCAAGGGTTAAAACTTAAAACCCTTGCTTAATTCGTGACTAATTAGTTTGCAACCAACTCAGTATGGTCACTAAAGAGAAATCTGTAAGAATTCAAAACTGTAGCTAATGGGAACCCTTACATCGGTTTCTATAATCTGGTTACAAATACTCTGGTTACTATAGGGAAACCACATCCAAACTTGTTGCTGGCCAATTTTTGCATATAAATTCCATCATTCATTATTCAATATAATATTGTTTACATGATTAAATGTTAACATAAACATTCAAGCATCATCCAAAAAATACAGAGTAGTACTAAAAGAACCTAATGATCTACTCTTCACAGCCAAAGAAAGCCAAAGAAAAATACCCATGAGATATCTTCCCTCTTATACAAGTACTAGTACTCTAGAGAGAAGATCTATGAGCTTCATCACCTGATACCTGGAGTTCTTTATGAAATTCATAATCACCCCCTCGTTCCCTGCAATGCATTAGAGCATCTAAATGAGACAAATTAAAGCTTAAAAGTATTATTTAGGAGATCAAACTGCAACCAGAAATTGAATTGTTTCAAAGAAATATAAAAAGAAGACCACTCATAAAAAAACATATACTTGAGAGCATTCTTAATGTACTAAAAAGCTCCACTTACTGGAGTTGCACAGAGAATCGACTTATGTATTATTTGTATTGAGACAAGTCAGGTCTATTAACCTTCCTGGCCTGATTATTCCACTAACATCATGAATGATTGGCAATGGTTTCTTTCTGCTTGGTAGAATGTGAGAGCTCAGGATTCCCATCAAATTAAATAGATGTTGGGTCAGCAAGATAGATTCAGGACTAGCTCTCTTTCTCTTCATCACATTATATTACATATCCAAAAAATTACTCAAACAAGTTGACAGAAGAACTGAAGGTTCGCCAATGAAATAGAGTAGAGCAGGTACGTTGGTCCCCATACCCTGCCGCTTGCAACCTGTGTGAGTTGAATAATCAAAATGTTAGCTAACTACCAAGGCGTACCACTGATTTGCATCTGTAACACCTTCTGGAAGTCCCTCTACCATAATACTTTCCACTATTTTTCCAACTTCAAAGTGTTAAAAAGAGTGTCGTACCTGCATACGCAAGAACTTGCCTTCAACAAAATCAATCATAGTTCGACTGCTCAACAACCTGTTATGTCGCATTAATTGAGATTAATCGAGAGAGATGACCTTATAGCCTGAACGAGATAGGGACTGAAGAGAGAGATCAGGGAATCGCGCCGCTTGGAGTGGACGAGAGATCGTAGATATCGGGTGCCAAAGTTAACGGAGTTGAATGGAGAGTGACCCAACGTGAACGGTTCCAGTAAAGTGAAGTACCACCAATGGATTTAAATATTTCGAGTGACCAAAATTGAACGTTTTTTGTAATCTCAGTGACCAACTATGCAATTAACCGGATTTCTTTTGTTAGAACTTGAATAATCTATCAGAGCTACAAGGTAAAGAATAAAAGATAATGTTGATTTCATACTGTACCTAGAGATGACATAACATTTACTTTCTTCGCTAAGTTAGGTTTACAAAACAATGTTGTATTAATATGAAAAGTCAATGGTAGAAAATCAGGACTTATTCCTAATCTTAATCAATACCCTAACCATATATCCTAACCTATACTCTAAATCCAAAATCATAACTAACAATGTATGGTTTGATATAACAAATTGGAACAAATTGGGTATCATCTTTTGAAAATTGAGAAGTCAATTTGAACTGATATAGGAAGTTAAGGAATTTTCTTTTTCCTATAGAGGATTTAGTTGTCAATTTTGTTTCATATATATTTGCGTAATTTTAAGTGTAAGTTTAGTTAAAACAAAAAATCAGAAACGAACTATCTCAATAAAAGAAAATAGATATTTTGTGTCGGTTGGGTAGTTTTGGTTCATTTAACGGGTAAAATACCTTGGGTACCACTTAAATTTGAGAATTGGGGCAGAGATATCACTTAAGTTTGAATAGGGCGTCGGGTACCACTGAACTCTATTATTTTTGCACCCTGTACCACTTAAATTTAATGTTAGGTGCATTCCTTTAAAGTTAACAGAATATTCTTGGAATATTCTGTTTTCTAAATTTCTTAATTTGTCCTTCTACTTTTTTTATTGTAAAAATTATTTTGACTTATGAAAAACATCAATTTTTATTATTTAGTTGATATCCTCTTTTGAGGACTTGATATCATATTAATTTTTGAATAGAAAATTTAGAATCAACTATCATTATAAGTATTTTCAATTATCATTATGTTTTCTAATTATTGAATTATTCTCTAGAGCAAATATATCCTATAAATTTTGTTTAGTTGGGATCCTCTTTTGAAAACTTTGATACCAAACCAATTTTTGAATAGAAAATGTAGAATCAATTATCATTATAAGTATTTTCAATTGTCATTGTATGTTATAATAATTGAATAATTTGCTGAAACAAATATATCCTATGAATTCTATATCAATATAAATAATCCAAGGATGTTATATTTAATTCTCGTACATCATGGTGATGTTGTATAATTTTCTATGTTAAATATCCTTGTAATTTTCTAATACTATATTTTAGATGTTCCATATTAATTAAATTTACTAATTGTCTCTTCTTATAGCCGTATTTTCTTTTCTAGTTTTGTTACAGATTGTTGTAGATTTTATTTATTTATTATTTGGTTACTTCCGTTCTCTTTTCGTTCTAAATTTTCTTCAATTACCGGAATATGTTTAATTCTTTCTGACAATGTTCTATTTATCCTTCTTTGGTCTTGATATATTGATGATCGATTAGGTTCTATTTTACAATTTTTAATAGTAATTTTAATTAGATTAGCGATTTAAATAGATCTTCTAATATTTATTTTAAAATTTTATTATTATATTCTATATATTTATTCTTCTTCTTGATATTTTTTTATTATTTTTACTAATTTATCTATTTCATTGACAATTTTGATTAGTCATTTTAGTAATATTATGATTACAAGGTTTTTTAATTTCTATATTAGATAAAAACTTTTTAAAATATAGTTTTGGATGTTTTTAAAAGTTTTGGGTACCAAAAAGTAATTAAAATTTTGGGTTGGATGGAAAACTAGACGGATGCACATTTTGGCGACTTTAATGGTACCCGATGCCCTATTCAAACTTAAGTGGTATGTCTGCCCCAATTCTCAAACTTAAGTGGTACCCGGGGTATTTTACCCTTCATTTAACCAACACAATATTGTAGTTTTGTCGAAAATTTGTGTCAGATGTGCAACCAACATAACATGTAGGGTGCGTTTATGGTGACATGCATGTCACCGTAATTTGCACTTTTCGGTCGATCTCAATTAGGATTAGGTCGACCTAATATGTTGTTTCAGTGTAAAAACAGTTTCATGGTGCCTACTTTGGAGATTCATATCTTACAATTGGCTCGATGAAAATTGGAGATTAATGGCTTGTTTTAAATCTGGAGTGTCCCTCTACACATTGAAGTGCTTGGGAGCTCGATAGGAAGTCCAGAAGACCATTTTTGGACCTGATCAAAAGACTATGCCAAAACTGGGAAACTGTCTGCAAATGGCTAAGTCTGAGAAAGTGTTTGTAAAGCCTACTTTGGAGCTCAATTAGAGAAGCATGGATGAGATTCTAGTCCAGTGGCCTATACCACATGAAAGTAGGTATGTTTGTCTACAAAGTCAAGGCATTGGATGAAATATTGGATATCTAGAAGGCTTCAAATAAGAGGTTTGAAGTTACTACGAAGTAAGCTGCCATCTAGCACAAGACTGAAGCGACAAATTAGGTCGACCTAAAAGTGCAAGTTACGGCGACATGCATGTCACCGTAGCAAGGTTCTAACATGTAAACAAATTAATATAATTTAAATTATTAAATTTGTTAATGGAACGGGTATCTCTTAAGATGAACAACAATGGAATTTCACCATCTAAAAGATAAAAAAATAATTATAAACAAAAATTTTTGATAAATATTTATAGAATGTCGGTATAAAATTCTAGACAGATTATTACTGAAATGAAAGGGAAAAACGAGGGGAAAACTCCATCTACACCAATTTAAATTGTGCCGTTGGCATTGTACTTTAAATTAAATACATCAGAGTACTTTAAATTAAATACATCAAAGTACGCAATTAGTAATTGCAATTTGTACCCTCCCGCGAATATTATCCGACTTGATACACGATTGGACGGGTATTATCAGATCCACAGTATCGTGGAGCAGAGAATGGGTATCTAGTTCTGACCCGCTCTGCCCCGTCCCGTCCTATTCTATCTCAATTTCTTACAATATCTATAACACGTGAGAGTGGGTCGACCCGCCCCGCCCTGTACCCGCGCGTGTTTTACCTGCCCCAACCCACAGTTGCATGGGACGGGACATGGGTATTAAGGTAAAACTTAGGTAACCAGTTCGAGAAGCGGGAGCGCAAAAGCGTATAGTTCTCAAGATTTCTATATTGAGAGCGTGATAAGAGCGCTATTATTATATATTTTTTTTTATAAAAATACCACTATCATACTAATCACAAGTGATTAAAATGTTATTACTATCATGATAATTTTTTTATTTTTAGACTAAACATTACAACATTTTACCCCTTGTTTATCTTTTTGTCACACATTTTATCAAATTTTAAGAATACATATTTTTTTAATGTTCAAAATTGTGGAACTAATTGGGATAATCAAAATACCTTATTAATAAACAATTTTATTGTGAACTTTCAAATATGACAGTTTTGATCAACTTTTAATATTTTGACAAATTTGAATGGACTCCCTGCCTTGCTGCGCCAATTTCATCAACAATGTAAGGAATGGGAGCGGGTGTCAGGGGATAGGGTGGACGTGGGTATGCGCTCTTCTCTCCATTCTCCGGTGCTGGCCAGTGATGACATGATGGTGTGTATGTGGGATGGGGCTACGAAGGCCGGGTCGCACTCGGCAGGTGGTATGGTGATTCTTGGTCCTCAGAGGGTGGTTCTTCGAGCCCAGGGCTGTCAGTTTGATTCTATTGATGATCCTTTGGTTGTGGAAGCGCTCGTCCTCCGTGAAGCCATCTTGTGGTGCGTAGCCAGTGGATTCCAGGAAATGAGATTTGAAGGTGATGCCAAGGTCATTATCGATAAAATCAATCAAGCGGCAACAGGAGACAATAGGATTGGGATGGTGTTGGAAGAAATCCGGCAGTGTATGGTGCTGCATCCGGGGTTTAGTTTGCGATTTGTAGGTCGGAGAAACAATAGGGTAGCCCATGTGGTGGCTAGAAAGGCCCTTGCTTTGTACCCGTCTACGTGTCGCTCTTTTAATTTTCTGACCTGGCTTTGTTCCAGGATGTAATGCTACCTTTTGAGTATCAATATATGATTATCTTTTGTCAAAAAAAAAAAAAAGACAAATTTGAATGGACGTTTAATATTGTAGACAAAATGTGTTTTTCTGTATGTGACTCAACATCGGTGTTGAACTAGCTCCAACGAGACATCCACATTATTTATTTATGACAAAAAAAATCAAATAAATAGATTAAAAAAAAAAAGAAACGAAGAGCAAAAGAATGACCTTACCACCACAAGTTTCTCATCTCATCGACTTTTCACCTTCAGTTGTAGATCCCTCTTGACGAAAATGGTTATTCCATAACCTCTCAATCCAAATGCTAAACCAAACCATTTCTTCCACAAACGCCTTTATTCCTTCGCCGCTAATTTCGTCTTCTCAATCATCTCCCCCCAACACCGGCAAGGGTGGATTGCTGGATTTGGCCTCGCCTTTGTCCTCGCCGCCTCCACCAAATTCCCCGGCGCTGGCGCCGGCCACTACTTCGGCCTTCTTCAACTCAACAAACAAGGAAGGCGACTTGAGATTGGGAAAAGTTGGATTTCTGTATTGCATGTATTTCTGGCTCAAGATAGGGTGTAACCAAATCTGAACCCTTCATTTAGAAAATTCAGATCTAAGGATGGAGAATTAAAGGCTATTTTTATTTTCACTAGCTTTCTTAATTGACTCATATCTTTTTCGTTTTAACTCGGATTTTAATTTTTTTTACACAGATGGAACGAGTTCACCGTGCTCTATAAAATGAGATCAATTTTCAATATTTTTTTAGAAAAAAAATTCTGGTCTCTCGGTACCAACTGCATACCATATGGTATCTTCTTCGTTTTTAATTCGTTTTTGAAAACGTTTGCACAGCAGGGATGAGTTCATCATGATCTACTGGATCTACAAATTTCTGGGTGAACAAATTACAGGACCAAAAAATACCACACAATACCATACAATACCACCCTGGTACGGAGTGGTATTGTATGGTATCTTCTTCGTTTTTGAAAACGTTTGCACAGAAGGGACGAGTTCATCATGATCTATTGGATCTACAAATTTTTGGGTGAACAAATTACATGACCAAAAAATACCACACAATACCATACAATATCACCCTGGTACGGGGTGGTATTGTGTGGTATACAATGTTAAAAGTCGTAAATTACAATTAATATACTTCTACTATCATGTATTCAACCATCCTACAGTATTGGTTTGTTCATACCACCATGGTACGTTTTTCAAAACATAGGTATGCTTTTATTTCAATACCAGTCAATACCATATGGTATAGGCTTGTAAAAAATGGCTCAATTTTTTTTTTGTTAGAAAAATATATTAAAGTGGATATCATTTTGAAGAGCACAATTAATCTGATCTAACTGTGCAAAAAAAATTAAATTTCGACTTAAAATGAGCGAGAAATCGTCCGTCAAATATTAAAGAGGGAAAAATTAAAGGCTTTCCATGAGAGAGAGGATGCTGATGTCATGCTGATGTGGACGGGTTACTCATTGTTACTCACCATAAGGTTACTCACCTGATCCATTCCCTGTATTTCTTCCTCAAATCGACATTATCTACTCGATTTTTTGCAAACTGTTTTTTTTATGCATTGTCTTATTTGGGAACCAATATCCAGCTATTACAATGGATTGGGAAAGATTGTGTTTTGGCAGAATTTTCAAAGTTTTTTTTTCCCTAAAAAAATTGAAATTAGATCACACCTTTATTGGGTAATTAGCATAAATGGTCACAAACCTTTGCACTTAGTACAAAACGGTCACAAACCTTTAATTTGTAACCATTTGATAACAAAACTTTTTACTTAGAACAAAACGGTCACAAATTAAACAGTGTGACCATTTCATACCAGTTCAAACTTTTGTTACCGTGTCGTTGCAAATTAGACTTTTGGTGACCGTTTTGTACAAATTAAGTTCAAAAGTTTAAACGCTCAATCACCGTTACAATTCACTCTAGTTGTATGGTGGTTTTGTTAATGTATGTGAATGATATTATGTTGTTTAGGTTGATAATGAGAGAATTCAATGGCTCACAAACGGGTTCCAGACTGCTTTTTAGTTGAAAAAACTATGTCTAATTTCTTACTTTCTTGGTATCGAAATTGAAAGGTCAACTGAGGGCATTCTTATTCGGCAAAGCAAATATGTCGATGAACACACGACCTGACATCTTATATGTCGTTCAAGTGGTTAGTGTCATATACTTAACGAACAAACTACCCGACCTCAAAACATGACAAACATTTAATTTGTAACGATTCGGTAACAAACCTTTGTACTTAAAACAAAACGGTCATAAATTAAATAGCGGTGACCATTTTATACAATTTCAAAGTTTTGTTACCGTATTGTTACAAATTAAAGGTTTGTGACCATTTTGTACTAAGTGCAAAGGTTTGTTACCATTTATGCTAATTACCCCACCTTTATTATAAATATAAAGTCGGGTTTCCTTTACAAATTGGGAATAGATCACACCTCTATAAATTAGTTTTTTGAAAAAGTGGATGACATGTTTGAAATTAGATCACACCTCTATAAATGCGTACACTTTTTTTTTTTTGGTAAGAAAATGCGTACACTTTTAATAAGACCAAAAAAAAGCTGTGAATTAAAAATTCTAAAAAAAAATTGTTTGGAAATATAAGATTATCCTTTTTAATAGTTTGATTTCTTTTTTATTTTAATAATTAAATTTAATTCATTATGTAATTTTAATAATAACATAAATTAGAAACTAATATTATGTAAACCGTTTATGTTTTGCCTGGCTTTTAGAAATATTTTGATGATAATCTTAGATTTTGTCTAGGCTCATATTCGGCGAGTCATTAACTCAATGAAATTAATGTATAGAATTCACATCCTAAACAATAGGAACTTTAGCTAGCCATAAGAGAGGAGAGATCATATCACCATCGATTATGAATTCACATCTCTAGTGGATTGCTACCTCACCCCGTACCCTTTTTAAACCGGCACAGTTGTATAGACCACATGACAACGTTGGTTTGTTTTTCGTGGTGCGATACCTCTAACCCATTTAATTTTTAAACCCTTGCACTGATTTGGAAATAAAATTTTATACATTGCACGAATTTAGAAACAAATCAATTAATATGTATCCAGTCCAGTCCTCATCAACTGCCGAACTTTGAAATGTAAAGGAATGGTGGTTGGAAGCTGGGAAGTGTTGATGGTTGAGCAACGTGAATTGGGGCTTGAGAGTGGAGAGTTGGTCCCGGGGGAAGTGTTAATGGTTGAGCAACGTGAATTGGGGCTTGGTGTCCATCGGGTTCGGTTTTTCGGATTTACCGAAAACCGATCCGATTAGATATATTTTTGGTTTTTCGGGTTCGGGTTTGTTTCGGGTTTTGGATTTTTCGATTTCGGGTTCGTTTTGCTTATTGGTTTTTCGGGTTTCGGCTGAAAACATCCAAGAATTAGCACTTAGCCCGTATTTTTAGATATTCAGGTTTTCGGATTTCGGTTTTGCTTTAACCGAACCCGAACTCGATAAGGAATTTTCGGATAACCGAAAACCGAAAGTTATTATCGGATTCCGGTTTGATTTTCAGTGGTTTCGGTTTTGAGGTTTTTCAGGTTTTGGTTCGGGTAACCGAACCCAACCCGAACGGACAGCCCTAGGATTGACTGTTGAGATTTGGTCCAGGGGTAGGGGTTGAATTAAACGATGTCTCGGTATAAGTTTTTATGATGGTCACCATTCACAAATTTAGTTGGGCCATTGGCAAGGTACTTACAAATTAAATAAGACCAAGGCAAGTACACAAACTGCTTTGTTTTTCACTATTTAGGCATCGTTTATTTTGGAAATCAATATCTAGCTATTACTAGCATTGGTCCGGCTCCTTGGCCCGATGTTTGATTATTATGCATTTTGGTATGTGTTGCTATCACTAATAACGTGTGTAGGTAGTAAAGATATGTAACTAATAGCAATATATGTATATAAAAATAAAGAATTTACTATTGATATTTGATATAGTCCAATGTTTTCATGAAAATATTTTTCAGTATTTGTCATTTTTGTTGATCATGACATAGGTTATAGATATGAAATTGTTTGAATTGATTTGGCACGTTGCGGATTGATAGTCACAAAAGAATGAGCTAAATAGCTAGTCCAAAGTTTGATATTCTGCCTCCCAAGTTTCAAATCCACCTAATAAGCTCAAAAGAGATTACGGGCATAAATCGAGTTCTTCAATAACTTGAAAGCTAAATATCATCAAGATTTTGTGATTCCACTATAATAGAAAGAGAATTTTATTGTTTGAATTCTCACATCATGAGAAAAGCTTGATAACATATTCAACAAAATTGTTGCAATCCTTCCCACAACAGGTCAATGAGTCAGACTCCTTCCAATTTAAAGATTCATCTCCAAATTTAGTTGTTACATGGCTAATTTCCATATTCAATTATTATATAACTAACAAATGAATTGAGTATAATCATCGGAGGATCTGCCTCGTCTCTCCATAATTCGTTCTGATATCTCCACAATATTGAGCATATAATAAAAAGTAATTAAATACTCCTCTCTTTATCGACTCTCCATTGCAATCTTCGATATCTTCAAAATACTGTGACGTCTTGATTTGGTGTAAAGATATCCAAAATCGTGGATCCCAATCCGAATCCAACCTAATTGAGTAGGGTAAAACTTGAACATAAAGATTTTTAGTGAGTACGGATAAAATCTCAATCTCATTAATGCGGGTAATTGGTAGACATGGTTTTATCACTATCCAAACCCACCTGATTATACATATGCATATGTATTTTATTTAAAACATTATCATTATTTTTCTTAACATATTTGATCTTTTTATTTTTATATATATATATATATATATATATTGTAATTATATTATTTTTTAACTAATTTTATTCTGCCTAGTGATTCTGGGGAGGTCATGATTGGGACCAATTTGGTGGGAATTGGAAACTGTGCGATGGGCTCTTCGTTTGGGGGTGCTTCACGAATGCAGGGGATCAATCTGGATACCAGTTTTGCTGCAGTGGAGTGTGCTTCTCCTGCTTTACCCTCTGAGGCAGAATTTCAGCTTGTTGTAAATGGTGCTAAACCTCGTATTTGGTCACCACAGCCTAGTCCGACTAGTGTTCTTCCAGTTTCTCATTCTTTTGAGTTGTTAAGGTCGCTGGATGAAGGAGCTGTTGTCACTCTGCAGGCAGCTCCGAAGAAGGGTGGAAGAAAGGGAGGGTCACAACCCTCTCCCTCTCAATGATTTTTCTATTCCAGAATGTTAGAGGGTTTAATAAACCCTCTAAGCGTAGGGACTTGTATTCAGTCCTTAGGCAGCACAAGGTAGATGTGGTTGCAGTATTGGAGACTAGGGTTTGTGCTGGTTGGCAGAAATACTTGAATTACGTTGACAGTGGTCTGGGGCGTATTTGGTTGTTTTGGGATCCTGATAGTATTGACTTAAGGGTTCTTGTTCCTAGCAAGAACTTTGTCCATTGCTTGGTCAAGTCAGTGGAGGGGGAGGCATGTTTTCTCACTGCTGTTTATGGGTCCAACGATGAGGTGGAAAGAAGACTCACTTATACTGATTTGGCTAGACTCAAGGTTAGCAGTCAACCGTGGATAGTTGGGGGGGACTTTAATGCAGTTCTCAACCCAGGGGATGTGTCTAAGCAATGTGACTTCAATAGTTGTATGGGGGACTTTGGGAATTGGATGAATTCAATGGAATTGGTGGATCATAGGATGGTTGGACCTCAGTTTACGTGGACAAATAATCAAGTGGGTAATCCGCTTGCCAAGAGGTTGGATCGAGCTTTTGTGAATGAGAAGTGGTTCGATGACTTCCCAGATTGTCGTATGGATGTATTGACTGTGCATTTTTCAGATCATTGTGGTATTCTGGTGACTTCAAAGCCTGTTCACAAATCTCTCCCAAAGCCTTTTAAATATTTCGATTTTTGGGCTGACAGTCCTGATTTTTTCCCTCTTGTTAGCAAGGCTTGGGAAACACAGGTTGAAGCACACCCTCTTCATCGAGTTCAGTTGAAACTAACTATGGTAAAGAGAGCATTGAAGCAACTAAATAAGGAAAAATTTGGGGATATCAGTACAAGGGTTAAGGAGGCAGAACGAGCACTTCTCTCTACCAAGGCTGAGGCTTACACGTCTCCATCAGAGGAGTCTTTTGCTCTGGTATCTGATTTGTTGGTCAAGCTGGATGAGTTCAGAAAGGCTGAGGAGTGTCTGTACAAGAAGAAATCAAGAATTAATGTTTTGGAGTTGGGGGACAAGAGTACAAGGTTTTTCCATCAGGCAGTCAAGATTCATACAGCTAAAAGGGCAATCCGCAAGCTAATCACTGGGACTGGTGAGGAGATTACAGATGTTGAGAAAATTGCAGAGGAGGCTGTCTCATTCTATAAGAACCTTTTTGGTGTTTGTAATCAGGATATTCACCCTGATAGAGGTCGGTTAGAGTCACTGGTTCAAAACAGACTTGGAGCTCAGGAGGTAGCATTTCTTACTTCTCCTGTTAAAGATGATGAAGTTCAGACTGTGGTCCTCCACATGAATCCATACAAGGCCCCTGGCCCGGATGGATTCTCAGCGGGTTTCTATAGGAAGGCCTGGCCTATCATTAGAAATGATGTTCTGGCAGGTGTGAAAGATTTTTTCTCATTAGGGCGCCTCCCAGGTAGTGTCAATGCTACTGCCGTTTCTCTGTTGCCTAAGGTACCTTCTGCCTGTGATCTTAAAGACTTTAGGCCAATATCTTGCATTAATATTTTATACAAAATCATAGCTAAGGTGTTGGCTAATCGTCTAAAGAGAGTGCTTCCTAAAGTCATCAGTGGAAATCAATCTGCTTTTATAGAAGGGAGAAGAATAGTTGATAACATTTTAATGGCACAAGAGTTAGTTAGTGGCTATCATTGAATGCATCTGTCTTCTCGCTGTGCCATTAAAGTAGACCTTATGAAAGCCTTTGATTCAGTTAATTGGGCTTATCTGTTTCTGATGATGGAAATTATGGGATTCCCTGCTTGTTTTATTAACTGGCTAAAGTTGACTGTTAAAACTGCCAAATTCAGTATTTGCATTAATGGGGGGCTTTGTGGATATTTTGGGGCTCAGAAGGGTGTGAGGCAGGGTGACCCATTATCACCTTACCTCTTTACCATTGCCATGGAGGGGTTATCTTTACTGTTGAATGAATCTGCTGCTCTTGGCCATCTTCCTTACCATCCCCAGTGTAAAAAAGTGAAGCTAACTCACCTGAGTTTTGCTGATGATCTTTTGATCTTTACTGAAGGGTCAGGGACTGCTATATCTAAGGTACAAGGAATTCTCTCTGAGTTCTATACTCTGTCTGGTTTGAAATGCAACCCTGCAAAATGTGAGGTTTACTTTGGGGGACTGTCAGTGATGTTTAAAAGTAGAGCTCTCCTAGTGTCTGGTTTTCAGGAGGGGATGCTTCCAGTGAGGTATTTAGGCCTTCCACTGATAACTGGGAAGCTGTCTGCTGCTGATTGTGATAAACTTGTAGCCAAAATCACTCACAAAAAAAAGTCATGGAGAGCAAAGAGGCTCAGCTATGCTGGGAGGCTTCAGTTAGTTAGCTCTGTCCTTATGGGGGTATTGCAGTATTGGATGCAGGTTTTCTTGCTTCCTAAGAAAGTCCTCAAACACGTGCAGAAAATCTGCTCCGCTTTCTTATGGCATGGAAATGAGGAAGGCAAAGCGAAGATAGGATGGGACAGGAGGGCCAGGCCTAAGCAGGAGGGAGGACTGGGATTGAAAGAGCTATTTTCATGGAATCAAGCATGCACTGCTCGTATGCTCTGGTTGATTCTGATGCAGAGCGGGGCCATATGGGTAGCATGGATCAATTCTTATAGGATCAAGCAAGGTAGTATCTGGACAATTAAGTCCAGCTCTCGTGGCTCCTGGGCCTGGCGCAGGATTTTGAAAACAAGACAGGTGTTGCAGCAGCATTTCTCTGTGCAGGGAGGGGTGGTTCTTTGGGATTAGACTCCTATGCCCAGGTTTCGGCTAAGTGTAGTTTGGGAGGGGATTAGGCCGAAATGTCCTGTTGTGGAATGGTACAAATTAGTATGGGGCAAAGGTTTTGTTCCTAGGAGTAGTTTTCTTGCTTGGACTATTCTGCTTGATGGTATTGTCACGTCTGAAAAGTTAATGAAATGGGGGAAAAGTGTGGATGCTGGTTGTGTTTTATGCAGGCAAGGGCTTGACTCTCGGGAGCATCTTTTTTTCCAATGCTTATATTCCAGAGAGGTGGTGCAGGGTGTATGCTCTTTACCTTTGTGTTGTACATCCTGGCCAGCCACAGTGGCTGTTGCTTGTTCTCTTTGCAGAAGGAAAAATGGCACTCTTGCAGGGATGGTTTGGTGCTTCCTGGTGGCCTCGATTTGGAAAGAGCGTTGTCGAAGAATGTATGATGGGACTTCACATTCCGCAGCAGAGTTGCAGGCCCTAATCAAGCGAGATCTTTTGATTATTGGAGAAACAAGGTGTATTTTGGGGGATTTGGAGTGTATTGGGGTTCTGTAATGTTTATGCTTAGTAGTCGTCACTGAGGTTTTCTACTGTAGTTGTTAGTTGTGTGATTTCGCAGGCTTTTGGGGGTATCACTTTGATACCTCCCCCTTCGTTGTATCTGGTTTCGTCTAGCTTCTTGCTAGTTTGATTAATGAGAAGAGGGCACCTGATTCAACGAAAAAAAAAAATTCACTTATATAACGTTAGCATACCTGTAATGTTAGCATGTTCATTGGATCTATAAAGATAAATTATTACCCGGGATATGAACATGCTGAATTCGATAGGGTATGGCATGATTTTGATTGTCTACATAGTTATTTTGTCTTTATGAGTACAATTCAAACTATTTTAGGTAGGACAATGACTGTTATCGAAACCATCCATTGAAATTTGGGTTGCTCTCATTTTTTTCCGGAGTCGTCATCAAACTTAACTTGTAATATATTGATAACTTTTTGATTTGGTAGAAACCTTAGGGTTAAAATTAAAATCGGAACTTGATATGTGAATTCAAGTAATAGGTTCGAGAATACGGTTATGAAGCAGTGCCTACAGTACCCCACAACAATATAGATTACTACTTAAATAAATATAATAATGGGTAATTGTATTATTACTTGTCCGTTATTAAATTATTTAATTTGTTCCCACCCAAAAAAATTATTTAATTTGATTAATGTAGGATTAGATTAGATATGCGCTTAAAAGGAGAGTTTTTTCTACGGCGATTTTAGTATATATAAAGCACAAGTCAAGTTATTGTTGCCTAAACTCGCAAGCTGATTGGGCGGTTATACATTTTACATTTTGATATCCCAAATTTAATTTAATTATAACTTAGTCATTATAATGTATTTTTTACATTTAGATACCCCAAATTTAATTTTAATGTAAAATCATTGAACAATTATGTTTTGATATCTAATTAAAACACCCTTGAATAAATGAGTATCCATACCCAACTCATAAACATTTAGATTATGGAAGTAAATATCCATACCCTACCCATAATCAATTGGTCTACTTGGGTTTAGGTAAATATTATTTAATAGCCAAAATTTTCAGAATTTATTAAATTGGATGTTAACCGTCATATAACTCTTCTCAGTTAATATCATATTGTCAAGTCAATATTATTAATAAAACTGCTAATAAAAAATTAATTTTAGACTAATAATACTAAAAAAACACCATAACGGGCCACATAATATATGTCCATAGACCATCTCCACCCCACGACAAAGTGTGACATCGCCACCTAGTATTCATGTAAAAGGAAAGAGATTATGAGTTTTATTATTAACAAACAAAGGAAAGGGAATTTGAGAATTTATAAATGGTAAACACGCCGGGGAGGCGTGTAACAACTTCTATTAATAGTTAAACCCTAATTCGCTGCCGCCTAATCTTATCTTGAACAGTCTTCTTCCCTTCCGATCTCTCATCCACCTGCTCTGATGGTGAAGCCGCCAGATCGACACATCTCCTCTCATCTCCCATCTCCTCGGCCGACGCTTCAGGGTCGCAGTCACAATGACGTTACTGCTTCTCGCTGCAGTGAGAACTGACGGTAGTGGATGCCGGACACGATGATGACAACGAGGACGAAAGTAAGATGTGCTTTCTTGGTTTGCATGTTGAATTTAAGGTTTTTTGCTTATGATTTAGGGATCTAACCTTTAATTTTTATAATTTTGCTAATCGTGAGGGGAACATGAAAGGGCCATGGCTTGGATCTCTCGTCCGGATGCTCTTAAGGTGAATCCGCCAGCTTGAGACATCTTCTCTCTTATCTCATCTCCTGGTCCGGAGCTTCCAAAGTCGCGATGGCGTGACAACTTCTTGCGGGGGTGAGAACTGACGACGATGGTCGCCGGCGAAGATATGACAGCGGTGGTGAATGGTGCCCCTCGGGGGCAACCAAAGGGTTATGGCCTAATCGAATGAATCTCCATTTCTCTCCTATAACTACAGGAAACAAGGACATATTGCAAGAAGTGCAGGAACAAGACAAACCCTGCTGCTGCAACAAGGGTTAACTTGATAGAAGAGGACTTGATAGCCATGGTCACGTATATGATTGCTGTAGTCAACCTCACAGATGACTCATAAGGATGGTGGCTTGATACAGGTACATCGAAGCATGTATGCAACAATTATGCTATGTTCAAGACATACACAGAAGCACATGTTGACAAGAAAGTGTTGTTGGGGACTGGCCACACCATTATGGTTGTTGGTTCAAGGGAAGTGGAGCTGAACTTTATCTCTGAAAATAAGATGGTGCTCAAGGATGTGTTGCACACTACAGAGATAATGAAGAATATTGTTTCGGGGTATCTTCTTAAAAAGGCTGGGGTTAATCAAGCTATTGGGGCTGACTTGTATACTCTTACTAAGAATGAGAGTTTTGTGGGAAAGAGATATGCATGTAATAAGATGTTTAACTTGAATGTTGAAATGAATTCTTCAGTTTACATGGTGTTTGATTTGAATGTTTGGCATGCTCATCTTTGTCATGTGAATACATTGAGAAGAATTTAAGCAACTTGTGACATATCCCTAAACTCTCAATGAATGAATTCGATAGATGTGATTTCTATAGCCAAGTTAAGATAACAAAAATGCTCATTAATTTGTGGTTAGAGAACAAGGTTGTCAAACCGGCTCTGACCGTCTGGTTCGACCAGGTTGGGCCGGAACCTGGCACAAAAGGGGCCAGCGCCAACCATATTCTGAGCTAGCCGGCAACCAGTCAAAATCGGTCAAACCCAGGGTTTGACCAGACTTATCCGGCTACCAACTAGTGATGAAACGACGACATTTTGGAGGGTTTTGTATCAACCTCCCAAATCACGTCCTCCTTCCTCCGGCGTCTATCGACATCTCCCCCGACGACCGAGAACCAGCCGCACAGAAATGCCGCTCCGCGACCGGCGCCTCTACCATAACTCTTACTTCCCTTTTACCGAGCAAACTTGAAGCCAACAGCCGCTCTCGTCTCTCCCAAATCCATCTATGTCCTTCCGCTTGCGTTCGCTCCTCGACCCCTGCCTCGTCGTTCGCTCCCAGCTTCGATGACGGCTCCTTATGTCCGGTAGGTTCTGGGTCGCTGCCAGATCTCTCTCTCTCCCCTCCCTCCTTCTCTCTCTCTCTCTCTCTCTCTCTCTCTCTCTCTCTCTCTCTCTCTCGGGTCGTAGAAACCCTTTGTGGGTGTATATAAGCGGTGGCTGCTGCTGCTTATCTTAGGGAGATGATTTTTGCTGGGTAATTGGTCTTAGGGTATGTTTGGGCCCAAAAGTAATTAGGGGTTTTGCTGGGCTGATATAATGGGTCATGTTATTTATTTCTTTTCATGTGTTTTGGGCTTTTGGCCCAAAATCGGTGACAAAAAATGACTTCTTTATATCTATTATCCACCTATTCTATCAAAACCCGCTTAAACTGGATGAACCCCGATCCAACCATTAAACCTCAAATCTCTTATCAACCGGCTTGACAACTTAATCCGGTTTATTCAACGAAAAAAAACTTAATCCGGTTTGACAACTTTGTTAGAGAATCAGAACCCCTATATCTGATTCATTTTGATATATTTGAATTAAATGGGACGTTAACTAGGTCTGGCAAGAGATACTTTATCTCATTCATAGATTATAGGTCTAATTATTCATTTGTTTATTTAATAAAAAAAAGTGATCCCTTGATATGTTTAAGGTATTTGTGGTTGAATTCGAAAATCAGTGCAATAGAAATATAAAACAACTTAGGAGTGATAGAGGATCAAAGTATGACTCTAATCCCTTCAAGAAATTCTACAGCTCGCATGGTATCATTCATGAAACCATTGCACCATAGTCACCATGATTGAATGGTAAAGCTAAGCCATAAAATAGGATATTTAAAGAATTAGTCGTGGCTATTATGCTCAATTTTGGAGATGCTTCTTTTCTTGGTGGGGTGATTTTTTTGTTATCAGTTTGATATGTGCTTAATCGTCTTCCAAAAACAAATAGAAAATAATTACCCTATGAGATCTTGAAGAATAAGCCACCTAATATGTCCCATTTAAGAACGTGGGGTTGTTTTGCCTATGTAAGAATTCTGGATCCTAAAATGATAAAATTGGCTTCTCGAGCATATGAATGTGTCTTCGTTGGCTATGCTGCCGATAGTAAGGCATATAGATTCATGATTTGAATGACCGTACTATAATAAAATCCATTGATACTGATTTCTTTGAGACGAGATTTCCATTTAAAACGAGAAATAGTGGGAGTAAGGTACTACATGCTATTAGAGATAACGAAACTAGTGGGGGTGTTGATCTGAGGATGAAGTCAGAAGAAGTAAAAGATCTAGAATCTCTTAAAATTTTGGTGATGACTTTACTACAGTATACATCCTTGAAGATCCCAAAAGTTTGCAGGAAGCATTAACTTCCATAGATGTAGATTTTTGGAATGAGGTCGTTAGAGATGAAATGGATTCGTTAGAGGGAAATAAGACTTGGCATCTAACAGATTTACCTCCTGGCTGCAAGGTCTTCGGTAATAAATGAGTTCTAAAAAATAAACTTAGACCTAGTGGTGCAGTTGAGAGGTTAAGAGCTCGCCTAGTAGTTAAAGGCTATAGGCAGAGAGAGAATATAGATTTCTTCGATACCTATTCACCAGTATCTAGAATAACATCCATTTGTGTCATGATTGCTCTTGCTGCCTTGAACAATCTTGTGGTACACCAAATGGATGTTAAAACTGCTTTTTTGAATGGTGATCTGGACGAAGAAATCTATATGGAGCAACCTGAAGGGTTGTTGTTCGTGAACATGCCTCGAAAGTCTGTAAGTTAGACAAATCTTTGTACGGTTTGAAACAGGCTCCAAAATAGTGGCATGAGAAGTTTTTTCAACCTAGTTCTCTCGCATGGCTTTAAGGTGAATGAAAGTGACAAGTGTATTTACTACATATCAGAGAATAATATTTGCACTATCATATGTTTGTATGTAGATGACATGTTGATATTTGGTACAAATATTCGCGTGGTCAATGAAGCAAAAGCCATGTTGAGAGAGAGTTTTGAGGTGAAAGATCTGGGTGAAGCTAAGTTTATGCTTAGAATCTAGATAACTAGAACAACAAATAATTATTCTTTAGATCAATCTAACTACATAGAAAAGATCTTGAAAATATAACTATCTCGACTGCAAACCTGCGTGTACTCCGAATAATGCTAGTATAAAGCTATTCAAGAACACTGGAGACCGTGTAAGACAATATGAATATGCTAGCGGATTACACTCGACCAGACATTGCATATGTCGTGGGATTGCTTTGCAGGTTTAACAGATGTCCTAGTAGAGAGCATTGGAATGCTATAAAGAGGATCATGAGATACCTCAAGAGAACAACGAACCTTGGTATACACTATCAAGGATTTTCTGCTGTACTAGAAGGGTATAGTGATGCAGGCTGGAATACCCTATCAGACGACTCCAAGGTAACCAGCAGGAATGTCTTTAACATCGCCAAAGTAACCAGCAAAAATAATCAATCATATCTCAATCAACTATGGAATCAGAGATTATAGCACTAGCAATGGCTAGTGAAGAAACGAGTTGGTTGAGAGAATTGTTGTCAGCGATTACCTTATAGGAAAGGATGGTCCCTCTAGTATTGATCCATTGTGGTAACACCGCAGCTATATCTAAAGTTGAGAACCGGTTCTACAACGAAAAGAGGCGAAAAATTCGTCGTAAGCATAGTACTTTAAGAGAACTCCTGATAATAGAAGCAGTGAGGGTGGATCATAAAAGACCCGAACAGGATCTAGTTGATCCTTTGACAAAAGGATTACCTAGAGAGAAAATCCATAATACCGCCAAGGGTATGGGACTTATGCCTACCGAACCATGGATTACAAGTGACGGTAACCCGAACCGATAGACTGGAGATCCCAAGAAACAGGTTTCATTGGTAATAACAAGAAATGAGTAATATTGAAAAAATTTCATGCATAGTGAAGCACTTTACTTTGGAGGTTCTTCTGATAGACTCACATGTGTGAATGTGGGAGTGGGGTCGCTCTCTATGGAACTTTGGAGGCACAAAGTTGCTAGAGTATTCACTAAACCAGGATAACGTGTAGTGCCATAAACACACGGGTTAAGAAGAGAACACAACTTAATGAAAAGATATGGTGTGCTACACTGTCTAAAATTGGGTTCAAGACTACCAGTCACCATTATGAAATCGGAAGTGTAACCGCTACGCTAAGATTCAAATATTCGCGATACCTAAGCTTAAGCCCAATATAGAAGTGTTGATGATCAGAGATAGTTTTAAAGCTATTCAAGTGGGGGATTGTTGAAATGAGTAAGTGAATAACTTTTGAAAGCTATAGGTCCTAAGGATAGAATACCACATTGGTGGGAGAACTCCTACCAAAGTGGTATAAGAATGGGTTCTCTCACGTAAGGCATGCCCCTTAGGGTGACCCACTTTTGTGAGAGAGGGAGGACAAAATGGACCACCACACACACGCGTGCGCCGTATGTTTAATACAAGCACATATGTGCTTTGTTTTGAGATCAAAGGGCGCAACACCGATCTCCTCGGAGAAGAGATCGGTGTTGATCAAACTTAAAACGTAAAACGGACCCAAAGGTGCAATCTTTCACGTGGAAGAAGGATCGATTGGTTTAAATTGAACCTTGGACACGATTAATGCGATGTCCATCGATACGAAGCAAGCTTGTTGCTGGGAACTCGACCAACACACAAGGGTTTGGTGACGAAGTCACAATTTCATTCAATCTTCTCTACCAATTACATGAGGCTTCCAGGTCTTTAAATTGACAATTAAAACGTCAATTTTACTTCTAAACTAACTAGGAATCTGACTCGTCCCGAATATCACAATTAAATCCCACCTAAGGCCCAAGTATAAACCTTAGTAGGGTGCAATATAGGGCAAGTATGCTTAAATATCAACCCGGACCGGTCCATGTACCCCTACTTTAATTGTTTGAAACATTATCTAGCGGATTGGTTCTTCGGTTGAAAAGTAGGAGAAATGAATTAAAGCAAAGAAAAAGTAAATGGTTTTGAAAGCTCTATGTGAGAAGGATCACTCGGGTGTCACTTCATCCTAACTACTACCATGGCACGTGGAATCGAATGGACCGTTATGGGCAAGGTGACCACGAATCGCTAGGAAATGCAACTATGGTCGTATACCACACTCTCGATTGCCAAACCAAGGGATACATTATAGGCTACTCAAGTATCCCTCTTGGTTAAGGCAATTGAGGATTGACTTACTCTCACACTCAACCTAATGGTTGGACGGCTTAATCGCGCTTAACCAAATTGGTTTGCCCTACATTAACCTAGATAAGTGGCTTAAAAAGCCCAAAGAATCCCAACTCAATTGAGCCTCCTTTGAAAGGGGGATTTTCC